ATTAGATCACGCAGGAGGGAAGGCTGTCACCTTATAAAGGTTGTGACCAAAAATTATGTAAATAGAAGAACAATTTATATTTTAAATTTAATTAAAAAAAAAATCTTTACACGCGTGGTATGCGCGACATCATATGATGTCGTTCTTAAATTTGTCCTTACTTTTAACGTCATATGACGTCCCTAGATTACATTAGATCATGCAGGAACGAAGGCTGTCTCCTTATAAAGGTGGTGACCAAAAATCATGTAAATAGAACAACAATTTATATTTTTAATATTAAAAAAAACCTTACACGCGTGGAATCCACGACATCATATGACGACGTTCGGCCAGCTGCCCTAACTTTTAACGACATCATATGATGACGTTCGTCCGATAAAGGTTAACAAAAATGTATACTTTATTTCATCACTGAAATCCTTGTTTAGAAAATTCAAAGTGTGCATAAAATATCAGGTATTATGTCATGCTGTCCTACTGATGGAAAAAGAGCTACATATGGCCTGCCACCTTGTTTTGTAGGTGTGTGAGATTAACCTTCATTTCTAGAAAAATATATTAACACTTTCCTCTTTATGGCAGGGTGCTGAATCCTGACAAATATAACTTTTTAATTAATTCCACATGACACCTAACAAACAGGTTTACAAAAGTATGGAATTAGTATGACTCCAAGAACACTACAACATGGGCACAATCTACCAAACTTCTGGCGGCTGATTTCTAAGCACCGTCAACCCCACAACATTTAAACATTGTTTTAACAATAATGAGTCAAATTCTCTTTTGTGTGGTTATACTTCATAGACTGATTACTGTAGGGCAGATGTTGGTATTAGTGTTATGAAAAAATATCTATTTTTTATACATTGTCTGTGGGTATGTATCTATTGGTACAATGCAGCCCCTCTGTCTTTGAACAGCCACCCCAATTTAAATTATGATTCATGTTTTGCAGTACCTTACCTTGAGGAGGTATGTTAGCAAAATGCTGGTGTACATGGCCATTAGGTTCTTGGATACAGTGATCAATGCAGTCAGTCAAGTCCTCAAACTGCCAATCACAATTGTCCCAGCAACACTCAAAGACTAGATTCTCAACAACCTGATCTTGAGAACAATTATTGAGATTCATGACAGGTTTGATCAACATGGATGTAGCAGAGGTAGGGCTTGCAGATGCTAATGCCGCTGCTGCTGCTTCTTCTTGTGCAAATTTGGCAGCACTTTCCTCATTCACCTTAGCTGCCCTCTCCTCCCAGCACTGCTTCTCCTGTGCTGGCAGGTTGCGCCACTGCCAAATTAACCCATACAATTGCTTTACAATCCATTAATTATGTATGAGGGCACACTAATATCATTATCAACCCATTCTATTTCTGGAAATACAAACATAGCAATGTCTATCAACAATTCAACAATGAATGCATGTAGAAATGAAAAACTGGCCTCAAACTACATAGCAGATATGTTTGACTATTTTAGTTACCATCTGTCAGACAGTGCTACCACTTGCTTTAAGGAGCTCTGATAGATAAGTTGGTATAGTGACTAGATTATAGGTTGGACAACTGAGGAATCAGGGTTCAATTCCTGACAGAAGCAAGAGACTTTTCTCTTTTTCATAGCATCCAGACCAACTCTGGGGCCCACTAGCTTCCTATACAAGTTTCACCAGTAATTGAGTGGCAGGGGTATGAAGCTGACTGCTCACCTCAATCTAATGCTGAGGTTAAGAATGGTGGAGCTATATCTCTACTCCTCCATACATCTTCATGGCATGGTGGTTAATTAATTAAGTACAGATAACTTTATCTTTTACCTAACCATCTGCTTTAACATTAAAAATATCTGAATTTTCCCCACTGAACATATTTACAGGTTTCATATAATTTTCATAATACTTGTAAATAGCAATTATTTCCCTGAGCAGCATTAAATGACCGGTCTTTGTAATGGAGACACAGTGTGATTTCAGTCAAAGAAAATTTGAATTTTTAAATATTATTTGGATGGGTTTCAAGCCTCAAAGAGTTAAATGCTGTGCAATTTGCTAGAGTACTTTATGGTCCCTCTGATATTTTAAATAGGCTGTTTCTATTTTTGACTTCAACACAAAATTTATGTTACAGACATGCTTACACCAAATTTTCAAACCCAAACTTTGTGATAAATGCAACTTCAGTTTTTTAATTTTAATAACAAAAATATTTATTATACAGCCACTTCCTAGAAAGATAACTGTTATGCAGTAGTAATATAAACCATATAACATTTTAAATTACTCTATCAAACTGTCAGACATAACCTACCAAGGGTAAAGTTTGCTAATGGCAATTTTTTTGAATAAAAAGATCACTTTTACCAATTCTACCATATCACATATATAACATGACCTAATGTTGGGCATAATTTTTTATGTGAGGCATGACCTTAAGCATGAATGAAACAAAATTTTACAAAATATGCAGGCCTTTTACTACAAGCACACACATGTGAACACAAATGTCCAAACACACAAATGCCCTTTGTTCAATATATGTGTATTAGGAAGGGCAAAACCATCCCTAGGTCAATTCAACTCAGTTAATTACTGAGAAGTGAGCTGCTTCAGTGACTGAAGTCATCAAGTTACTCTGAAATAATTCAACATCCAGTAAACTGGATGTGAAGAGTACAGCATCACAACTCAAAGAGTGAAGACAGCACCTTTATCTTGTGACTGGAGGCATGATCCTACACTAACTAAATCATAGCTCATATCATTTCTTTGTTGACATGTAGATGACTTTAATTACTCACTCATCACCCATCTTTTACATTTACATTTATTTTCAATTTATGGATCCAATCATCTCCCCATAGGGCTGGATATAAAACATGTCACACATTACAAATTCATGATGACTACACATCATATGTCTTCAGTCCAATAAAATATATAATCAGGCCTCACGCAGACAGCACAAGTTGTCAAGACTACACACATAGGTCATGGATAAACCACTGTCAAATTAGAGTCCTATAGCTAATAAAGACAAGAAGAGGCAATAAATTTTCTTTTAATTATGTCATCTGAAGCAGTTCACTACACATTATTGCTCATTTGAAAAAATTCACTTGTGAGTCATTCACAGACACAATCCCTCAGTCATTCAATGATTTGAGACATTGCAGTATCAATGAATCAAGTCAACTATTCAGTTAGATGATTAGTTCATCTACATCACTTACTCACTAGCCATCTTTAGTCTGTACCTCATTTCCAACAATACGACTGATTTCTCCAAAACTGGACTCCGGGTGATTGGCTGCCACAGATCGGCGGACATCACTTGAGTACAGAATGTAGCCTGTCACCAATTTCTTGCCAGATGATTTCTATATAAGTAGCAAAACAAACTCAGCACATTTATTACTTTAGAAACAGATGAGTGCCGCTTTCCCTCAACATATGGTATGGAAAAACAATATGTTCTTTAAAACATAACATAACATAAAACAGCTACACTGCACACAAATACTTCATACCCTACATGGTTCATTTAAAAAATTCATCCAATTTAGCTGCCAGCACTGTTGAAGATGGCATAAACATCAGATGTACTTCTTTTGGCTCACTTCTAAAAAAAGAATGTGCAAAGTAAATTTATGTATTTGGTGGGGAACTTCTTATATTCTTCAATTTAACAGGTCTATTATGACATTTGTTCAGACATGGCAATTGGCAAAACTGGACAACACATACCAAAGAAGTGAAAAGGTGCATACCTACAGTGTTCATTAGGCATTCTTTACTAAAATATGTCTACTGAGTTCCTAAAAATAATAATTTACAAGACCCCAAATTTATGGGCAACCCACTTCCTCTATCTTACACCCTGAAGACTGAGGTAGCAGGTTGCTCAGAAAAACATGGCATCACACACCAGAAGACAAAAATCTTAGCAGTCACTAGTCAAAATCTTACATAAAAGCATATCTGCAACCTATTTATCTTTAAATTATTTTGATGAATTTTATTTTGTTATTTTTCATAAGTACTGTATTACACAACACTTTCTAAGTTCACTGTACCTCTGTTATGCTTTTTACAGTACCTTCAAAATTTAATGAATGTAACTCATTAAATTTTCAAGGTCTTGTAAGTTAGCACCAAGAAAAATTAAGTCCTTGAAAAGAGGCATACATTTCTAAAATAATTATTTGCATACACATATGTTTTGTATCTCTGAAATTCAGAATACATATAACATGTGTATATAAATTAGAGCGAGCCAGGATAGCATAGTCAGTATAGCAGCTGGCTACGGGCTGGATGACTGGATTGGAGTTCAAGTCTTGGTAGGATAAAAATTTTTCTCTTTTCCAAGCCATCCAGACCGGCCCTAAGGTCCACCCAACCTCCCATCCAATGGGTAGCGGGGGGGGGGGCTCCTCCCCTGGGGGTAAAGCATCCAGGGCATGAAGCTGACCAGTCACCTCCAGATAGTGCCAAAGTCAAGAAAATGTGGATCTATACATCCACTCCCTCAAACGCCTTCCTGGCGTAGTGCTTAATTCATTAAGAACAGGGACAACTTTACCTTCATATAAATTAGAGCACACATACACACAAAACAGAAATGTGTTCAAATCACAGAGTGAGTCTTTGGACATTCTCATACATTTCATATCTCCTGTGATAAGGCATAAATAGTGTCTGTTTTCATGAGCCTTTCCTCTATTCCTTCCAAGCAAACTGTTGAATTTCCAACATTTGCCATGTAATGCTTAAAAAATGAGCAAAACACTGCTATTTATTTCAATATTTCAAATAGCAGAACATAATAAAAACATTTACTGTTACTCACCTGTTATATAAAAAATAATAAAACTGCTGACCGTGTAACACTAATATAAGATACATATAAAAATTTCAAAATCAAAAGGGGGTGGAGGAGTGGGGAGAGAAAGAGAGAGAAACATATATAAGGAATAAAAACTTTATATTCACAAGTATGTATTCATATTACAAAATTTCCTAACAAATTCTTCCACTATATCCATATCATAATCTCTAAGTATCCATTACTTTATTTTCTAAATAACTAAATAACCCACTTCAAGAACCTATTGCTGTAAGAGTCTTGTTTCTCCCTTTTGAAAGGATTCTTTCTCAAGTTTCTTCATCAGTACGCCCCCCACTAAGCGAAAAAAATTACTTCATCAGTACCAAATAATGATAAGCATTACCTGCAAAAATTATAAAAGTTCTTAACTGTTACAAAATATGACATATAAAGAATGTATGAATGAATGTGACTCTCAAGGAGGAGACAATGCCTTTACACTTTACAGTTTACATCAGTCCCACAGTCGAGTTTGTTGACACTTCTCATGGCTTCTACTGGAGTAAACTTTATTGGCTAAAAGCTTTTTCAATTCATCAACTGATAGCAATCCTTAAAATCAACCAAAAAGGAAGCTCATGCAATTACCAATACAGGCATGCTCAGCTCAATGCTACTACAATAGCAACAAATAACTGACAAGCTGGCAACGCTGAAAATGTTCTTCCCAATTCCTCATATGATCACATGGCTCAGAAAACTGAAGAACCTTTATTTGAGATGAAAAAGGATCAAAGTGGTCACAGCCAGAAACAGCAACAACTCTATGGGGGCCCAAACTATTTCTCTATTACACTGGTATGCCTTTATATTCTCTAGTTAAAATTGTTTCATATGATACGTATATATTGCATACACAATGCAACCAAACAATATACATAATTCACCACACATGCACGCACGCACCACAAAAGAATAGTGAAAAAATGTATTTACTCATGTACCAGATGCACATTTACTAACTTACTTATGGAGCTGAGCCCTTCTTGAGGAGCCGCCAATTCTGCAGCTAATCAAAACTTTCCCAGCATTTTATGGAACCCGAAGGTTCATTCCCGTGTTCCCAAGAGCCCTCCACTGGTCCCTATCCTGAGCCAGATCTATCCAGTCCATACCATCTCATCCTCTCTCTCTTAAGATCCATTCTAATATTGTCCACCCACCTACGCTTTGGTCTTCCCTGTGGTCTCTTTCCTTCTGGCTTTCCCACCAATATCTTATACACATTCCTCGTCTCCCCCATTTGTGCTACATGACCTGCCCACCTCATCCTCCTTGACTTGATCATTCTAATTATATCTGGAGAAGAGTACAAATTATGAAGCTCCTCATTATGCAGTTTTTTCCAACCTCCTGTCACTTCATCCCTCTTCGGTCCAAATATTCTCCTCCACACCCTGTTCTCAAACACCTTCAGTCTATGTTCCTCCCTTAATGTCAGAGACCAAGTTTCACGCCCATACAGAACCACAGACAAACTTATAGTTTTGTATGCTCTAGGTTTTGTTTTTGGACAACAGACGAGAAGACAAAAGGTTCTGGACTGACGGGTAACAAGCATTACCCGAGTTCAATCGCCTCTTAATTTCCTCCTGAATCAGGTTTAGATCTGTTATCATTGTTCCCAAATATCTGAACTGTGTCACATTTTCAAAACATCTGTTTCCTATCTTTATGTCATGATTTTGCCCTGCATTTTGGTGATGAGACAGTAACATATACTTAAGTTTTCTCTGTGTTTACTTCTAGATCAACCTCTTTACTTGCATCAGTTAAAGTCTGTGTGCTTTTCTTTATGGTATCTACATTATTGCCCACCACATGCACATTCTACTTGAAATTAGCTTTCAAAAACAGGGGTCTATAATCTGCCCAATGGCTTGACAATCAAGTCCTAATAACGATTCACTGTGATAGTATCTGATGCATGTAGCAATGCACAACCCACTTCTTTTCAGTTGTGTGCAATGTCCTGCACTAGACAGGTATCTGATCTGTGTAGTCACACCAATGCTGGCCTCAGTAGCAAACATGCAGTCATATGTAATAGTTGTGTTTTGTTATATGTTATTGTATATGTGTGAAGAGAAGTAAGAGGCTGATCATTTACTGTGGATGAGAAAGTAAATATAATAAGTGAGATTAAAGAAGTAGCTGCAGGAAGAAAGTATGATTACCGCTAAGAGATGGTGACAACAGAAGCATATAGAATTTGCATGAGTATGTGTGTCAAAGGGACACAAGAACTATGTGAAACAAAGAATAAATGATTCATGCTTCCTGAAACAATAACTTAACACTGAGAAGATTTTATCTGTACTAAATGCTGTTCATGAACAGTATTTGTAATTTAATTTCATCAAACTGAAGTCCACAGTGAAAAATGGACAACTCAAAATTATGTAGTTTTAAGCTTGAAATTTCAGCCCTAAGCATTTCTAATTAGTCAGATTTTACTGTATACACAAGCATGTTAAGGGACAAAGATGACTACACAGAAGTGGCATTTTAAGTGACACAGATGAAACTAGGCCTGACACAACAAAACAACATAATTAAATGAAACAGAAAGTTAAGTACACTATTAAGAACTGCTAACAAACTTAATAAATACATGCAGAAACTTCATTAATGACTGTCTCACATCAAAAATAACAAGTCTGATCAGGTAAGAAGCCAGTACATAAAACACAGGTGGCATTTAAACAATAAACAAATGCATCACAGGAAAAGAATATGAGGCAAATATACGTTCATGGAATCTAACATAACTGTCAGAAAATCATAAGATAGATCCCAATGGAACAGTATGCACTGGATAGTGTGAAGAATAAGCCAGCAGACGAGTTCACACAATACTTCTCCCTCAACACAATCACGGCCCATTTCTGTAGTCCACAAACAAAAAATCAAGATGTTATTTTTTACCAAAATCAAGGCTATTAAATAAAAAAAAAATTGCCACCAATTATGCATTTTTACAGTAATATATGAAGCAACTAAGTAACATAAAATAAATCAAAACCAGAAGAACATATTGTAGCACACTGACCTTCTTGGAAGAAACAGGGGTGGTGACAGCAACAGGTGGCGCAGTATCCCCTGAACCAACAGAGGGTGGCCCTCCATCCAGTGAGTCCTCCAACTGCAGCATGTCAGGCTCCATCTTGGGCAACAGTGGTGATGGGGCCTGGAATATAACACAGGCAGAACCAGTAACAGCAACAGGTGCAGCAGTATCCCCTGAACCAACGGAGGGTGGCCCTCCATCCAGCGAGTCCTCCATTTGCAGCATGTCAGGCTTCATCCTGGGCAACAGTGGTGATGGGGCCTGGAATATAACATGGACTGTAGCAGGCCTTACCACCAAATTCTAGGAGCCCCAAAACTAACTATATTGTACTGGTATGGGTAAGGCCACTTTAACAACATCTCCGTGTAAGTAGCAAATATGGTTAGAGGACAGATTATGTGCATAATAAATATTCTGAACTTACATGGTGGTACATATCATATGTACCAACTTACCATGTCATAGTGCAGGGATGTTTTCATGCTTTCAACAGGCTGTGATTGGGCAGAATCACTTCCAATCTGAAATTTCAGTAAAAGAAATGAATACAGTGATTTTAAAAAAGTTGTTTCCTGATAAAACAAAAGAGCTGAGATTTTTTTGAAACAGTAATACACAATTATTATGTTTACTGTGAGTAATGTACAGCTAATCCTGTGCTTCAGCAACAAGCCATGAAGACAGTGTGAAAATAAAACATCCCACATTCTTGGTAATGGCACACAAATGATCAGCTTTCATAATATTCCACACAAAACCTAGTGTTCCCAAATAATATTTGAAGAACTACAAAATTCTTTTAACACTAACATCTGCTTTGGTTATAAAGTTGAAAATTCATTAATAAAAAATGAAATCCCCATTACTTAATATATAGAAGTTGCTTAACTTACAAATATAAACTGTTTGTTGTTATTAAATGAATAATAAGTACAAAATAACATGCTTTATTGTAGTCTAAATTCCTAAATCAACTGTTCATAAAATGCAGGATGTCCATACAGTATAAACACTGGAATACATTTCAATTTTCTGAAAATTTAATCTTTCATGGTCTATCAAATTCATTAAAATTCAGCATCCATAAAATGCCCAAGAAACAATAGCAGAAACATAAAAAAGTTAATTTTCTACTTAAAAAACAGAAAATGAGTCTCTAACCTCCCAAGAATATATGACATACTCTATTCTCATTATACACGGGATATGACAGCTTGGCACCGTATCTGTACAGATTATTTACCTATCAATCTCCACACTACACTCTGGGCACACACTGGAATTCTAAATTGACATGGACAATCTATTTCAGTGTCAAACTATGCATAAAATCAATGACAATCTACACTCAAGCTTGAACATTAAGAAGCAGCAGCTACAACTAACCCATTATGCAGCTATAAATAGAATAGTTCACTTTTATGTTAAACACATTCAGTATTGGATCTATACATCCACTACCCCATACACCTTCATGGCACAGTGTTAAAGGAATTAAGCACAAGGACAACTTTACCTTTTATACCTTATATATTCAATACTGCAAAGGCTTAGGCACAAACAGGAGCTGCTGCTTTTTCATCCAGTCACTTCACTAACATAAATGAGCTAACAGAACAGAATGGTTTATGCTGTGAGCTGTATTTGTCAAATGTTAACCTTTGAGGCTAAGCCAAAATATCATGTTATCAGGTCACATGTGAAGCACGAACATCAAATGTGGGAAGTTAAACATACATCTTCATACAAAAATCATATTAAATGAATATTATATTAGTTCTGTTGTATATGTCTTGTTTTTATTTTGATGGAAAATCCTTTTAAAAAGGGAATGTGTTAAAAGAGTAAAATACACACAAACCATATGGGAAAATTCTGCTCATATTATTACCCCTCTAATCCAGCTGCAGTACATATGCCATGCTGCTTGTCTCACCAGAAAACTGACAGTGGTAGACATACTACTATTATACCCTTTAGAATCTAATACCACTGTAACTTTAAAATCTACAACAAAGAAAAGCCTACCTGCAACATCAACATAGAAGATTTGAGGTTCTCACGGCAGTGACTATGAAGAATGCCGTCTTTTGGGATGTGGCACTGTGTAGATAGTGTAAACCAATGTTATGGAGGAACGTATCTCCTGTATCTTCAGGGTATAAAAATCCACGAGTGAGGAACCAGGATGAGGAGGTGCTGCAGCCACCTCCTCACATTGGTTCCTCACTTGTGGATTTTTATACCCTGAAGATGGAGGCAATAAGTTCCTCCAAAATCGGTTTACACAATATCTACACAGCGCCCCATCCCAGATGACCGCATTCTTCATCAACATAGAAGTTTCATTGTTTGACAGCTCAAAAGCTTGTAGTTTTACAGTTCAACAGAAGAGGTCTCTGCATTATAGAAATGTGAAGCAGTGACACCCACAGTCAAGAGCTGCATTTACTATTACACCCCTTTGTTTGTCAATGAATGGTTCCCTTTTGCTTAAACTGTTCCCATGTTGAAACATGAGTCACGGATCAATGAGAAGTCTCATACTGCCCTAGGAATAGTTTTCCAGGTACCTGAATGATATAGTCAGTTGCTTTACAATATTTACATCCTCAATGTTGCACTATTTTTTAATGTGGATACCTTTAGTTTTTTAGTCTGTATGCCAGTGCAAAATATTCCTTACTTAAGGAAAAATGAAAAGAAAGAGAAAACAGAAACAAGGTTTTCCAGCAGTTTTGTGCTGCTGTCATCCTAATCTCCAAAAATAATTCTGCGTGTATATGCAGACACTGTATCGCTCTAGATCCACTGAAACTTGTTTCCTACACTTTAATCACAGTTTTTTAACTTTCTCATCTTTCTCTCCATATACATACAAGGAATTTGCCTGAGTTAGAAGTGCAGTGGTTTCTAGTAGTGAAGATATTCCTTTTTATAAAGATGCACAATTAATTTTTCCCTTTCACATAACCAACTTTTAATCCACTTGTAAAGGCATTTAGATATACTAATTAATGATGTACTGTTAACTCACAACATGGCACAACAAATAGCACGTCTTCTCTTACACAGATATACAACATGACTCCAGACAAAAAAGCTGCAAGTACAATTTTGGCTGAGGTGAAACACTCTGATCCAGATTAACTGATTTCTCAATGGTTTTCACCCATTAACATCAGGTGGCAATAGCAGCATATTAAATTTGAAGTCTTAATCTTACTACACATTAGTGACTGACAACAGTTTTTTCTCTGTAACAAACTTTAACCACAGACTTACCTGCTATAGTTCAAGTCTACATATAAAATCATGTGTGTAAAATGCACTAGGAGTTCACACCAGACAAGAGCCTAAAAATTCTGGAAATCGTTGATTCATCACTGACAATTTATCTGTATCACTGTTTTCTTCATATAATTTTATGTTATTTTCCTTTGTGCTGTCATTTCAGTTTCGTCCAGTTTCGTGCAGAAAAAGCCAAGCTCCCTAGAAGTACAGAACAGTAAGCCTTTGCTGTATACAAACCTTGGGTGGGTTTATCAGTCTGCGGAAGAAGTAGATTTCATCCTCAGTGACTGCATTGCTGTGGCTATACTTCTTCAGGCCTTCTCGGGGAAGTTTCTTCACTTGGCGCCTTGCTTCATCATAAACTGATTCACATACATACACATCGTGCTCTGGGATTTCTGTTGGGCGACCTATAACAGGCAGTAATATCATGTCATAATGGTTAAAATCCAGTTAATTCACACTGAAGAAAGCATGACAACATACATGTATCACCCATACAGGGAAAGTGCACATGTATAATTAATGATCACAAATATCATATAACTTTATATCCATGAACATGTATACTTAATACTACACACAACGGGCCCTCACCTTAACTTCCATAATACATCTACAACACACCCGTGGGAGCAAAAACTTTTGCAATGTGGATGCTTAACACTTTGCGGATCGGCAATTTAAATATTTAAATTATCGTGCAGACCGGCATTTTTATACCTACTACCCTAACTTGTGCACTGTTCACTTTAAAATTTAATATAAAATCTCCTAATTAATTTTATGAACTAATTTTTTTTTAGAACACTTACCAATGCTTCTAGAAGTGCTTGAGGGTGTGATATTTCTTGAAACATTCCCCTCTGTGAAGTGGCATTACACAAAACTTGCAAGTGTAGGCAGTCCTACTACTTTTCTTGTGAATCGCGCAAACACGGCATTGCCTAGAAGGCTGCTTCCCCTTGAAATGTTCACTCTTCACAATTTTCGCGAAAATATGTTTCTGCATATCACCCGAGAGTTGCCCAGGGGGGTCAAAATGAGGCCTGCATGGGGTGGGAGTAGACGGCCCCAGTCATACTAAGACTGTGTCTGCAGCCAGTTCTGCTGCCACTGTGTGGTCTGTAGCCCAGGCTTTTGCCACATTCAGCAGAAATGCCTTGTATTTCAATTTTGAATGAGGGTTCAGATTTTTGAAAACCAAAAATGAATTGAAAATGGCACAATTTATAAGCCACAAGGCAACTTTCTTTGTCCACTTTACTGTTTTCCGAGGAAGAGAATAATAGGCCAAGTACTGATCGGCTCTATCAACTCCCTTCATGAACATATTATACTCGGAAATACAAACAGGCTTCTTTACCTGTCCATGTCTCCTTTGAACATCAACCATGCTCGAATTGTGAATTGTGGAAATCATATTCACAACACGAGTATCCCTCCAGGACTGAAGAAGAATATCCCCCTTCCTCCTGAATGTGGTTTCACCACGTTTCAGGGATTTACATTCCTCTTTCAGATCTGGAGGAAGGCCTCTGTTCACCCTAATTGTTCCACAAACACGTACTTTTCTCGAAAATAGGTGTTCTGCAGTTGCCACACTGTTATAATAATTGTCTTGATAGACATGGTAATTTTGATCAAGATAGGGTTCCAAAACGGAAAGAATAGTTTCTTGTAATTTCTTTCCTTCACCAGAATAAATTTCTAAATTTCCAATATAGCCTGAAGTGCTTTCAGTAACTACATGAACAAGTAGGCCATACTTTGTAAGTTTCCCAGGATTATATGTTCGCATACGAAGCCTTCCCCTCCAAGGAATCACAGATTCGTCCAAAGACAGTTGTTGGTTTGGCTTATAAACTGTCTGAAATTTCTGAACGAAAAAGTTCAATAAGGGCTGAATTTTGAAAAGCCTGCTTGTTGATTGTGGTTGCAGTTCATTATTATTGAAATGCAAACACCACAAAATTTGCTCAAATCTCTTACGGCTCATTAGTTTGGCGAAAATTGGAATTTCTAAAAATGGATCTGTTGACCAATACTCTTTCAGATTATCCCTCCTTGTATGGCCCATTAGAAAGATAACTGCAAAAAATGTTCTCATTTCTGCTGAAGTGACATCCACCCACTTCAATGCCTTATAACTTGTGTCATAATGTTCACAGTGTTGGAGATAGTATCTGTTAGTTTCCTGTCATAGCATGTCAAAGAAACTATCTCCAAAAAACAGTTCCACTACTTCAGACACTTGTATTGGGTCCGATGGAATTTGCTTCACCCCTGGATTTCCAGTAAACTGTCCCAAAGCAGGTGTTTTGTCTACTCTTCCCCACGTGGCTGTCCCCACAATGTTGCTACCTGCACATTCATCAGAGCTACGGTCACTTTCACTTTCACTGTCTGTGGTCACAATTTTTTGTTCACCCCTGCCACACTCACTATCAGATTGTGAGCCGCTATCACTAGCAGACTCACAAGGGATGTCAGATAGCTCATTGGAGAAGAAGTCAGATATTTCTTGTTCTCCAAGAAATCGCTTGGGTGTCAACCACTTTGGTCTTTGATCCATATTGAACTACTGACTGACAGCTTGCTACATAAAGCTTGAAGAAATAAAGGCATTTATTTTCCTTTGCAGGGGTATAGAGTTACAGCGAGGTCTACTGACTGATTGGTCAGCAGCCTTATAACGCAGCTGCAAGCAGCTACGTGCTAGCTAGGTGGAGCCAGAGAGATGTATAGTGTGCTACAACTTATCATGTTTTAAAAACTTGTTAACACACGAACGGTCCACCATGTTTAAAAGCGAAAAACCTTTTAAAGGGTGCACGGTCTGCAAAGTGTTAACAACACAAATACACACGAACCATAACTTAATGTCATAATTTTACATTGTATTTGGCATGTTTAACTTTGAAAATCTGATAATATATAATTTTTAATAGATCTTTCAATACTTTTAACACCTTTTACTATAAAAACTGTTAAAATTCAATATATTTTATAATATATATATATACCCTAGGTATACATTTGTTACGGCAATTTTAGTACTTAAATTGTAACCTGAGGCACAATTTATATTATAGAGTACGATGCATTGCACCAAATATGAATCCATATAAGGAGTTCAATGACCCTAGACATATCATATATTACTGCCTGATGATGGTCCCATGAGGACTGAAACAGGTAGCAGAAAATAAAATCCAATCTGAACAGTACTGACTGATCATTAAATAATTTGCTGTGGCAACAACCAACCTTAACCATATATGTTTATGACAACAGGATGCACACTGTGAAGATATCAGATATTTCACCCACACTGTGCCCATCTTGCTTTTAGGAACTTGTTACTGCAGGTTGCATGTGAACTCCAGATGAGAACTTTCATGTAATTCTGCTGCAATATCTGATCACAGTAATTATACAAGTAATGCAGAACACAGCAAATATTAATCTCAATGTGCAAGCCATATGGGAGAACAATATTAAAATTCAGGAAGACCATAATACGTCAGTGGGTATGATAATGTTTCTTCCAGCCCATATACTCACAAGAGATATATTCCCCATGTTCAAGAACTGCACATTTGCCCACTATGCTGTCTACTGTGTTGGTGTCTTCCAGGGTGCTCAGGAACACTTCCTGCTTATAGAATAGTCGTGTTGGAGCATGAGGAATCTCTGGGGGTGTCACAAGCCATGGGCCTCGAAAGAAGCACATACCCCTACAATGTAATGGGAAACATTATATCAATAACATCCTTCTAAATTAAAACAATAATAAATATCGGAATTTATTTATAAACTGTTTCTCACATTTAATCGCTTTATGGCGCCTCTGGAATGACTGACATTTAGCTAATCTGGTCCAATGTTGGAGTAGAAAAGCTCAAAAACTTATTATAAATAAATCTATTCTCTTCTCCCATAAGAGCTCTCTTTCTCCATTTCCTTTTGCATAACCTGCCATGAATCTCAGAGGTCAAGAGGTGAAAAAGATGAGAAAAAAATTAGATTAGAGGTTCTCATGGCAGTGACAATGAAGAATACCTACTTTGGAATAGGATGTTATGTGGCCTGGCAGATTTGCCAGCATTCTGGAGGAATGTACTGCCTCCAGGTCTGCTTGCTGCTTCACTGATGAAAGCACATTCATCCAAAATGTCAGCAAACATCTAGCAGACTACATGGGGTCACATCACTGAATATAGCACTCATTAGTGTTAAAAGAATTCAAGAAAAGTTAAATTTTATCAATTTTTTACAAGTAGACGCAAGAACAGGCACTTCTTAGGCTGTGTAAATTCTTGTTTCCTGCAAAGGCAAGTTGTAACTCCCAGAATGCATTGTCTTCCCATAACAGACATACTGAATTACTTTATAACAGAAATTTCAGACCCATTAGCACTTGGTTGTGGAAGTAATGGCTTGGAGGTGAAAATCTTAACTTTTATCTTCTGGAGGATGAGGACGAGGAGGAGAAACTTAGTAAATTCAATATAGTTTCTTCAATTTACTCAGATTATTACAAGAAACAGCAACTACTTCCCATGCTGTTGATACTTATCAATTTAATTATGAATACAAACAAATTTCACAATGACTTTAAACAGCAAATTGTTTTTAGCAGTTATTATTTAGTAGGCAGCAGTGAAAACTTACTGTTTATTCGTCCATACAGTATCCACCTGAGCAATGAGTTGGCGGCCTATATCTGTGCGTACATAGACACAGTCACCTGTGCGGACTACACCGCATGGCGTATTGAACTGTTCATAGTATGTACAACCATCTGGAGTCTGGCCATTCAACACCTCTACATTCTGTAAAACAAAATAAACAGGAAAATCATGATCTGCAGTCAGGAATAAAAGAGGAAATATATATAAAAATTTATAGGGAAACCTTCTTGCAAAGCAGTTACTTCAAGACTGACTGAAAAATCAAATGGGAAGATAATATTAATCTGGACCTACAAGAAACAGGTTATGAGAATGTGACATAAGTTCAGAAACAGATGAAATGGCAGGGTTTAGTACCAGCAGTGCTGAGCCTTTGAGCCTTTCCTATAGAGTTGAACTGGGTCAGGTTTCTGCAGCATAATGTAAACAAAATGTAATTAGGGCAACCTGTTGTCTAACGGATTTGGTTAACAGAGTTCTGATTATATGCAACTAATATTTAGATCTTCACTTTACACAACACTGGGATGAGTTTAAATTATCCATGGGTTAGCATGTGTAGATCTGTGCACAACTCAGATCATGGTATAACCATTCCTGCTGCCCAGCCTCACAGTAATGCTGAGACTCCCAATGTGCTTTATTGTGTCAGTGCAATGTGCTCTCCACAAACTTGAAATAACTTCCAACTTTTTACAAAGTACTGTGCTGTTTCACCTTGCAATATAACTTGTAAGCATATATCTAGCAATGCTACTGTGAAAGGAATTACAAAAGTAATAATGAAAAATCTTCACTGTAACCTTCCATGTAGAGCCTTAACTTTTAATTATTTTTGACATCTCTTATTGAACATTGTTCGTTACATAAAACTGAAAGCAGAGAACTCAAACTGGGGCACTTACCTTCTGCAATGTGGAAGCCATTTCAATTTAGAACTTGACCTAACTCATTTCTTAAAATATATTATATGTAATGTAGGATACACAGGAGTTTTGTTTCTTACATTAAAGTGTTTGTTACAGAGAGGTTTATAAGCATGAAATTTTATTTCACAAAGAAGTTACGCTATTGTTATTTTCTGAAACTGAACTTCCAAATAATGCTTGAAACTGTGACATATATAAGATTCCCTAAGAAGTGACTATGGGTACTACTTCAGGGACATGAGATCATGTAGTGGGGCAGAAGTTTACTAGTGTTTCACAGAAATGAGAGTGTATACATGGTGTTCAAAAACTTTCCCGAAATTTGTCTATAAATATCTTTCTCTACTTAAGGCTTATTCAATATAACCCCTTTCAAAATAATCCTCTTACACAGCAATGCAGCTCTCCTACCACCTTTTTCACTTTTGGAAGGATGTTTGTGGTATTGTCTTTAAGTCATCTTTGCACATTGCAGTTAAAATACATAATCAACCATCCTCTTACACTTTAATTTAGTTTTCCATAGAATGACTATTCAAAAGTATAAAATGTGTAAAATTAAGTTACAGTTCACATATTACCTATGTATAACACGAAAATACATTGCCTACAACACACACACACATCCTTACCACTTCAATGAATACTGTGCACATACTCCTACCACCAACAGACTGGTTCCCATGTGCTCACCGACATTTTTTTAGGGTAGCCTCCTTATCTTACATTTTTACTGATATGAAATAACTGCATATTCTACAAAGTAACTAAATTCATGCATACACACACACACACACACACACACACACACACACACACACACACACACACACACACACACACACATACAACTTAACCATTTCCCTGACTGTGGAATAAACTGGTGCAAACAACTACAAATATCTTGAGCGCTTACCGGTTTCTCCTTTTCTACAAGTTTCTCCCTTTCTTCCAGCTCTGCTATCTCTTCTTTGTGCTTTTCCACTCGTTCTCGGAATACTGACATCACACGCTTTGGTTCTAGTACCTCTTCTCTAGGTATCAGTGTCAAATGCTGTGACATATTGGAAGGCCATGACTGCAATAAGAAGTATGGGCAACATTAAATTATGTACTCCGTAGTTTATACTTGACTAACAGGATCCTTTGACAAACTAAACATGATTCTGGAGCTGAAGCAGTAACTATCACCTCACAACCCATATGTTTACTGCTATGCCAAAAGGTAGTCACTCTTATGCCAAGATTCTATAGTGCTGTACATGAATCAGGGGTTAAAATTCCCCTACAGCTGACATCTCAAGAAACTGGTAAGCTGTAGTTATAAAAGATATGAGTTGAAAAGTTGCAAATCATGTACTAACATTCTACACAAAATTAAAATAGACACAGAGTTTCCGCTTTTATACCATGCTTGCTGGGCAGAGCTTAAACTTGCAGTTNCCCCATACATTGCCACAGGTGTGGCAATAAAGAAACCGGATTACTTTTATGACTCATTTCCGGCCACGTCATTGACGAAGAGGAGGGTAGGGCATTGACCCTTGGACTTCCCTCTACCGTCACACAAAGTTTCATTCACGTGCATCGGTTAGTCTGGCCGCGACCATTGTTAGAAGCGGATCGTGTTTCTGAGCTCCGTCGGAATAATGCTGAGTGCTAATGCAGAACAACGTGCTAACATCAAATTCCTCACAAAACTTGGAAAATCTGCNCCGAGTGCTGTATAAATACGAGTGGTGGCAGCAACGTGCGGCAATGTGATACTGACTAGGAGTGAGTGCTGTCTGTTAGACCGGTGAAACCGCGTGTTAGCATGTGAGATGTTCCCACAGATATAGCTTCCAAAATATTGTGTTTTTTAGAACACCTGAAGATGGACATAGTTCAAAAATCCAGTAATTCACCACTGTCAGAACCCTTCAGATTCTACAAGTGTACATATGTCTCACATTACAACGATAATGCTACTTTTCCATCTAATTATACATGGAATCACATCCATGGAAACGCGCTAATATGCTTGGTAACATCATGTCCAAATTACGATATGCAATCCACAAAAGGAAAAAAAAAAAACTAAATAACCCAGCTGTGTACCNGGGGGGGGGGGGGACAACATTCTATTACTTGTGATCACCCTGAAAAATAAATCAACTATTGTAGTCCGTTTTTACAAAAAGTGCAATGCAAAGAGTCACCATAACCATACCTTAATTTTTTTGAAGGCCCGTGCTTTTGTGGAATATCGTGATTCACAAACATACACATCCTTATCAGTGAAGCCCTCAGGTCTGGAGCGGAAATAGTCCTTCACGCTTAAAACACAACAAAGCCCTAGTACTTGATCTAGTGGTATTGCAACATGCACATCACTCTTGAAAACTTCCTGCAAAAAGAAGGGAAAAACAGAGAATCCATTAGTTATTTTTTTCCCCCCATTTTTTTTTTCTTGTTTTCATCTACTAACCCACACACCATCCCTTCATTCTACAAGTGCCAAATATAGAAAATTTTGAAGTGTCTGTGGTGGCAGGGTCATGCAAAACAGTACTTGGAAAGCAAATACATCTATGGGGTTCTCAGTGTCACCATATTCGAGATACAGTTTCTGTTTCAGACTTCTGAAGCACATACACAAACCATTCCTAACAACAGGAGGTCCTAGCCAAAAATAATTAGGGATTATGTGAGGGGGACCATCTATACATGTACTATACAATTTAATAAACTCAAGCATTAATAACTAATTCACTTACAAATCTAGTACTTTTCTTTGACCTACTAAAATCTTTGGTACAACAAGCTCTTTCTAATGGTCTTTATATTGAGCATATACCGCAGAACATAAGAATGTCTTTACAATAAAATTAAAGGTATGTGGTAAAAACACAGAAACTGAATAAACATACATGTTCATCTTGCGAAGATCTTCGTTTCACGAAATGATGAAAACACTTACCTTCTCCAAGAACCTTCGAGTCGTAACATGATAAGTCTCATTGGGACGGTAGAAGTAATTCCCATACATCATCTGCTGTCCCTCTTGGTTAGTCCATAACCTCTCAATGTTTACAATACTGGTATCCATTCCACGTTCCTTTGGCTCTGCATAGACAAAGTCTCCAATTCTGTAGACCTGCTGATTGAAGCTCACGGAGTCACCTGAAGATGCATTTCCTCCAGCATCCTAGAAGAAATGACAATTCATATGACAAAAATCTGGTACCTGAATGCCTCTAAATTTCAAGGTATATTAAAGTGTACCTGCATTTTTCTCTGTTTCTTTTTGAAATATGACAGAAGCATAGCAATATCATTTCAAAGTGATGATGGAAAAACAAAGCAAACTCTTTGTGAACTGTTTCAGTATTATTTTCACCCGAAAAATGAAGCAATGTGGCAAGGTGGTAAGGAAACTGAGGTACTGTGCCCACCACCTACCTCACCTTTGGCTAACTCAAGTACAAATTTCATGTTAACCACTTCAATTATGATAGAAGCTGCAAACACTTCAGTGCAGTAATGGCTGCATGTAGCTGAGGAATTTTTAACATGTTGGAACTGAGAACTATCTCTTCATTGGTAAAAATGCATAAGAATAAAGGGATTTTGCATGAAAACTAGAGCATGAGGCTGATAGTCATGCACAATTTCTATTAATCTATCAGTACAGTTTGACATAAGTCATATAATTAATCCAAAGAACGGCCTTAAAAAATTAATCTAAAAAGTTGCAATCTGTATTCCAACCAGAGCAGACAAAATACACTGCAAAATGAGGCACCTGTTAAACAATAAATACCAAACAATACTAAACTAATACCATACCAGGGACCTTCAAGCAGTTAACTTTCCGTGTGCAAGTCATGAATAGACTGCTATACCGTACGTCCAAAAAGTATCAGACTTTATTTTTTCCGCTGTAAATAATGGCCAAGGGGGTGGGGACACTGAGCATAGTGGTAGAAGGGACTTTCATGCGCATGCGTGATTTTTTGCTGACTCGCAACACTGCCAGATGCATCTGTGGCTGCCAGATAGCGAAGTGGTGTAACACGAGTTCGTCGCATTCTTGTTTCGCTCAAGATGACAGAACGCTTCGAGCAGCAATACTGCATTAAGTTTTGTCAGAAACTTGGGGATACCCAAGCAGAAACAATTTGCAAAATTCAGCAGGCTTTTGGCGATGATGGTTCAACCGCTTTAAACATGACCGTATGTCGGCTGACAGTGCGCAGCGTTCCGGGAGACCGTCAACGAGCCGAAATGCTGATGTCATTGAAAAAGTGCGGATACTGATCATGGAGGACCGTCGTTTTGCCGTCCGTGAAGTTGCTGATGGGGTTGTGATCAGCAGAGGTTCCACAAACACAATTTTAACTGAGGATTTGGGCATGCGAAGAGTGGCGGCAAAATTTAGCCCAAGCTGCTTTCGCTGGAGCAGCAACAACTCCGCCTTGAGGTCGCGCAGGACATGCTGGACTGCGCCAACAGGCATCCTGAGTTCCTGAAGACTGTGATCACTGGTGACGAGTCGTGGGTGTGGGGATATGACCCGGAAACCAAGGTCCAGGCGTCACAATGGAAGCATCCAACATCCCTGAGGCCCAAAAGAGCACGACAGGTTCGGAGCAATGTGAAGGTGATACTGACTGTTTTTTTCGATTACTGGGGTGTTGTGCATCATGAGTACGCACCACTAGGTCAGACTGTCAATAAGGAGTACTACCAAGAAGTCCTCCGCCATCTTCATGATGTAGTTCGGCTCTAGAGACCGGAGCTGTGGGATGCACACAACTGGCAGCTGCATCATGACAACGCCCCAGCTCATTCATCGCACCTGATCCAGGCTTTCCTGGCCAAGCACGACATTCCACAGATTCGCCAGGCTCCCTACTCTCCTGACATGGCTCCTTGTGATTTCTGGCTGTTCCCGAGATTGAAGACACTGCTAAAAGGCTGCTGTTTTGACAGCCGCAAGGACATCATACAGAACATGATGGCGCAGCTGCACGCCATTCCAAAAGAAGCCTTCAAGAACTGCTTCCAGCGATGGAAGGACCGCTGGGCTAAGTGTGTGGAGGCACAAGGGGCCTACTTTGAATGGGATTAGGTATTGTAACCACCCAGATACAGAACTTTGTTTTCCTGGCCCAAGGTCAGATACTTTTTGGACAGAGTAGTATGTCTGCTGGAATATAACAAGATCACAACAACTGACTTCATAGTATGAAGCATTACATGAATAGTTTTTAACCATATTTTATTGTATAACTTTCGTCTTATAACAATTTATAATTTTAATGTATTCTTATACCTTATATTATTATAGTGTAACAAAGTTGTCAAGTATCCAGTTCCACTGTACCATCACATTGAAATGCAGCTCAATAGTGTGTGAATGTAGTAACCATGCATTTGCCTGAAGACGGCTTTAAAAGCCAAAACATGTAGCTAAGGTGATACTGACCTAGACTATTTTACTGTTGTGTTGTGACGGATCCAAATAAAGAATTTTGTATTACAAAAGACCTTGTATGATGTGTGGAAACAGATATTTAGGTAGACAGGTATTTAGACAGGTAGTCTTCTTGGATGTGATGCGGTGTAGCCTGGTAGTAGTTACCAACAGTCTCTCCCCTTACATCCACCCTCAGAACATGTCTTTTCCTATCTTGGTCTTGGTCATTTCCATAGCAGTAACTCTTTTCCTCAATGTTTCGCTTACTCGACAGTGGGTGCATGTTCCTCCAAAACAATTTTGATGTAAGAGCCCATCAGACTACATGGCATCACATTCCAAGCACTAATCTTCAGTCACTGATATGAGAGCAACACATCTCAAATAATCCATTTTATCCTATGATGTCCCACACATCTTCATCCTTTGATTACACTTTTAGGTGTCCCACAGTAAACCAACTGGCATGTTCCAATGTAGTTCAATCCCTAATCATCTTTTTGTCATTTATGAAAAATGTAATTAATTTCTTATTTCTTCACCAAAGGTTCAACCTAGTTTTGTTCTCTCTTTCACTCTATTAAAAAACATTCATCTTGGCTGCATGCTTCTTACTAATGTCCCTCTGTGTGGTCACAATGTTGTTGGTATACACATTGACCCTTTATGACTAAGAGTCCCCAAACACTAGCTATAGGTAAAAAGGTAAAGTTTTCTGCTCATTTAATTAATTATGCACTACTCCATGAGAATGCATGGCAAAGTAGAGGTACAGACCCACATATCTTAACCTCAAACTAGATTGAGGTGAAGAGTTAGCTTCACACCATGGCTGCTTTACCCCAAATTAAAGGGGCACCTGTACCCACAGGATAGGGGGCTGAGGTGGCCCCAGTACTGGTGTGAACACTATGGAGAAGAGAAAAATCTTTTGACCCTGCCAAGAACGAAAACAATTCCTCAGGCATCCAGCCTGTAGATCATCATTATACTGACACAGGTATCCAACCTCCCCCTAAACTTGGGATCATCTTATACATGAAACATAAAATCTGAACCTTAAATGCAACTGATGTTTAACATCTGCTGTGCATCACTTAAATCTCACCATAATTATCTCTCTAAAGCTCATATTTGGTATATGTAATTAATATATAGATTATAATAAAATAATGTCTGGTGAGATACCATGACCACAATCATAACTACTAAGTTTCCAGGAAGAACTCCCCACCATATGCCTTGGCAACAGCCATTACAGCATAAACTTAGACCAAAGCCAAGTGGCAATCCAGACAACTATCAGTGTCAATGTTGACAACAAAAAAATAATGCTCTGTGACTGTTCATAGCAAGCCTCAGTCTCAGGTCACTGTTCTTGCACAACATGCTATAATCTCTAAAGACCATTATTATTATCATAATACTGAGACCACACCACAGCTCAAAGAATTGTAGTTAAATGGTTACATCATCTGTTGAACAGAGCCCCACGTTTTAATTTTTAATTTAAACTTCCTCTTTCTTTCAGCAATTCACACAGTTTAACACAGAAAACAATGTTGTGATGACTGTTTCCAAAAATACTTTATAAGCAATATTCATAATGTCCCCTATAATTCCAAGTCACTACAATTGCCCTACTTACATATCAATTTTATTAATCATAATTTCCAGGTAGCCAGTTTTTATAGTTTTTATGTCCAACTTTCGAGCTTACCCTGAGTGAATCTTCAGAACTTCGTGTTTCTGCTTCCTCCTCAGGTTGTTCCTGCAACAGCTTTTGTTGTCGTGTTGCCTCCACCGCAGCTGCCAAATGCAGCAGCGTGTAGCTCAGTGCAGGAGAATGTAAAAGATCACCACCACGACAGAGTTCATCTCTAAAAATACATAACACAGTGCTAGTTGTGCAGAGAACAATTTGAAGTTTAAATCTTTGTTTTGCATGATGTTAACATCTTTCCTTACCTCTGTCTAATGAAAAATGATTGTAGTTCAATAGAATCCTCAAACACTTGCGAATCAGTTCGAGACAAACGACGTGCTCTTTCCAAGCAGGCAAATATGTCTTCTTGGAACGTGTCCAGCCGACGATATAATCCTCGGTCTAGTCGCCTCTTTATAAGATCCAAAGACAGTGCCCGAATCCTAGCCAATTATAATACATTCATAAGTTGAGTGGAATACACACACAATATATATAATTTCAAATTCACACTTATGTAGTGATTTTACAATATACCATTAATTCAAAATCATTGCCTAATTAAGCATTAGTGAAACTATTTCAAAAGTGAAGTACAGATAATGCATTCATTGCATAACTGCATTTCCTTGTAAGTGTAATGAGAAAATCCTTTTCATTCTTTAACTACCTAACTCCATGGAACTAAGTCCTTCTTGAGAAGCCAACAGCCACTCAGCTACTCCAGAATTTACCAACATTTTATGAAACCCAAGGTTCATTACTATGTTAACAAGAATCTGCCAGTAGTCTCTATCCTAAGCCAGATCAATCTCAGCCATACCATCCCTTATCTTATTTCTCTACTTAATTCCTTGTAGAAAAAAATGTAAATAGTATGCCATAATGTATGGAGGGGAAAGAACTGATAGGAGGAGGAAAGGTTACATCTAATTTTGAATCTCAAAGAAATTAAAAAATAATATGGGGAGAAACATATACGATAAAATACCATCAATAAGAGATTTTATGTAACACTACAGAAGAAATGGGATATAATGTTTTGAAGAAATAAGATGTGAAAAGAACACCCTCTTTGTACCCCAATATACATATAATAACAAACCAGAGAGAGAAGATGATTACAGAAGCCTCTACAAGACTGTACATATTTAATTCTTCATACTTGTGCTATGGCAAGCAAGCTTAATACCAGGACAGACCATGATAATGTACTATGTAAATGCTTATGAATACTGCCACATGTCAATAAAATCCTCTCTGGCTATCAGCCATGTCAGTTGGTTAAAAATTACTGATATTTCTGATGTGACATCACATCAGACCCTGATGATGGGGACTGAGATGGTCCGAGATTTTACCAACTTTAATTGACATGAAAGCTTCAGAACTTACAAATTGCTACATGCTCAACAAATACATTAATCAAAGTCACAAGCATATCGTGGGCACCTTTCACTCAACCCTTCAATTCCTTTTGCATACTACACAAAACATATAGTTTATCCCCCACACACTACATCTCTGCTACAAAGATCAACCAGTCAACGATGTTTACTGCAAAAACAATATGAAATACAAATATACTGTGTGCAGAATGCAGACTTCTGGTATGTTACAGCAGGCTGTACATGTAGAACCCTTCGGCTCTAGAGTTAAACAGGCAAACATCACTTTACCTCATAAATGGATGCTGGGACTTTGGCAAGTTAGTGAATATATTTTTGAAGTGTAGGATTAATAAAGGGTTAATCCAAATGAGAATCACAATATATTATTGAAGGTTGCAGTGAGAGGGCCGGATTTTATGGCCCACCCCTTACACACATACATATATTCATAGTGAATAAATTACTCTATACTTACTTACTTACTTACTTACTCATGGAGCTGAGCCCTTCTGGAGGAGCCGCCAATTCTGTAGCTACTAAAGAATTTCCCAGCATTTTATGGAACTCGCAGGTTCATCACCGTGTTCACTAGAGCCCTGCACTGGTCCCTATCCTGAGCCAGATCAATCCAATCCATACCATCCCATCCTATCTCTCTAAGATCCATTCTAATATTGGCCACCCAACTACACCTTGGTCTTCCCTGTGGTCTCTTCCCTTCTGGCTTTCCCACCAATATCATATATGCATTCCTCATCTCTCCAATTCATGCTACATGACCTGCCCACCTCATCCCCCTTGACTTGATCATTCTAATTATACTTGGAGAAGAGTAAAAGTTATGAAGCTCCTCATTATGCAGTTTCCTCCAACCTCCTGTCACTTCATCTCTCTTCGGTCCAAATATTCTCCTCAACACCCTGTTCTCAAACACCCTCAGTCTGTTCCTCCCTTAATGTCAGAGACCAAGTTTCACACCCATACAGAATCACAGGCAAAATTTAGTTCTGTATATTCTAATTTGTATGTTTTTGGACAAGAGATGAGAGGACAAAAGGTTCTGGACTGAATTATAGCAAGCATTACCTGAGATAAATTACTCTATAGCTATACTTGAACAATTTTATTACTCACAGTAATCAACTTACTTTGAACCATCAATTTCATCATGTTCTGGCAATTCAGCCATAGAGTCAGAGAAACAGCGACCCTCTTCATCCTGGTGATTATATATTGAGATGAAGAGTGATGTGAGTAGCTCCTGGACTGCTGCAGTGACATCTGGCACAGCTTCTTCATCTTCACGCAACTGCAGCTTAGTTTGAAGGGCCACCCTCTGTAGCATCAGGGCATCCTGCACAAAATAAGTTCAAAATAAGATATCAAAACCTTTCTAGAACACATCACAACCAAACACTCCTGAGCTGACATTTTCAAAATCACAAAACAAGAATTCTTATATCACAACAGTACTAAATGCTTCATATTCAGCAGTCTACTGTCTGATGAAGCTTCATGTAATAAGAATTAGCTCCAGTTCATTTGTAAATAAACTCATTTTATACAACCATTAAACAAATATACAGGGGCATACAATGCTGCATCACATATGATAATGTAAATAAAAATGGAGAATCATTACACTCCTTTTAATGTTACTAAAATGTCCAGTGTGGCCAACACAGTCACCTTGTAAATTTGCGAATCAGGCTCATTATATTTGCAGGCATTGTCAAACATGAGCACAAAATCAGACACCATGTCATCCAGGCCCTCATATTGTGAAGACTTCAGCTTCTGTGAGATGCGGTCCAGGTCAATGGGCCGTTTTATCACTTCATAATAGTCTGGGTACTCCTGTTAACACAGAATATTGTGAGATTCCACATGACAAAATACAATTTTTTCTGTATTCAACAATTTATTATGTAAACAAAACAATCATAATATAAACATGATGAAAGTTGATGAGTTTTATATATGTATTTTAGATTTATTTAATGATGCTTTCAGTAGCTCAGATTCTGTACTGCGAAATGGTACGGTGATTGGCAAAAGTTATTGGCAATATTTAAAAAAAGGAGAAAGACATAACTGTAATAATTATAAAGGAATTATATCTACTACGAATCTGCTACAGTTATGTGGTAAAATATTTGAATATCATGTTAGGACAACAGAAGAACTGTTATTATCAGATAAACAAAATGGTTTCAAAAAAGGATGACAGACTGTGTTAACAAAGAGAAGAGACTTCAATCCACAAACACAATCTTGTAGAAGTTTATTGATGATTTGGAGGAGCATAATGACTGGGAAACAACTGTGACCTTCAAGATTACAGTGTCACATCCCAGAAGATCAAGCGTTTAGTCACTGCCATGAGAACCTAAAATCTCACTTAACATATCAACCTCTGTTCATCTTTACCTTTCTCTTAAAAGTGGTATATAATCTCTGTAGTTGACACAAACTGTTACTTACATTAAAATTAAATGAATCTGTTAGATTTAAGGTTCTTACTGAGATGGATATGAACAGCACGTTTCTTTAAACCATCCTTGAACTTCTAGCAGACTATACAGCATCACACTGAGAGGACAGCACTCCTCAGAAAATAAATTGCTCATATTATCTTATTCTGTTATTTATATACTTATAATTCATAATATTTATCTTCAAATTCTTCCTAATTTTTTCATTTCTTACTCTTTTTTTTCAGTTCCACATTTACTTAATATCTTCTTAATAACATCTGCCTTGGTCTGTGTCTATATTTTTGCTCCATACATTAGTATGAGCATGCAGCCCAGGTTATGTAGGAAGCCAAACAAATGAAAATAATATGAACAATTTTATGACTTCAAACTAGCACAAATATTGGGGGGGAGAGGTATCTGAGAACAGTGTGCTGAATATTTAGTCCCAAGAGGTAGAAAGTAATAGAAGGGTGGAGAAAACTGCAGTGAGGAATTCTGTAATTTCTACCCTTTACAAAATATTATTAGGATAATCGGATCAATGAGGATGGGACTAGTGACATGGGAGAGACCAGAAATGTGTACAAAATTCCAGTCAGAAAACCTACAGGTAACAAACCCCTTGGAAGACCTACACACAGATAAAAGGATCATGTTAAAATGGAGTTTAAAGCAGCAGAGTAGGAGGAAATGGGCTGTTGTGAACAAGCTAATGACCTTCAGTTTCCATAAGGGGTGGGGAATTTCCTGAGTAGTTAAGCAACAATTAACGTCTCAAGAAGGATTCTACTCCATTAAGGTGGCCCTATAGCTAACAAAATCCAACTAAGTGTCAAATTAATATAACTGCAACTTACAAGCTTGGAGGGAAGTTTTAGGAAGATGAGGCTGAGCTGCCTGCCTTTTGGATCCTTGTAGTCACGTATGGTGTCATACAATGTGCGTAACTTCTGGGCAAGCACAGTTGTATTCTTCCTTGGTTTCACACTAGAAATAAAGTAACATATTGTGACGTGGATGCCGCAACAGGAAGTAGGGGTCACGCGAAATCTGCGTTTCCATAAGTGATGTCACATAACCCCACTCCTATCATTGCGCAATGCTTGGTAAACACCCCTCCCCACGAGGCTGTGACATCACGCAACAGGCGACTCTGTGCAGCGACTCTTGCTAGGCAATGCATAGGTCGAAACACCTGACAACAATACCTGATATCTGTTGCCAAGCAGCAAGATGTTCTCTGTGCTGTCCATGCCGAGCCTAAATAGGGAGCAGCGAACACTATTCAGGAGTACCCAGTATTGAGCCCATTACTAGAGAGTAACCAGTCAGTTGCAGTCTAGCATTCACTGGAGTGAATGGAAGCAGCAGTAACTGTGATACTGCAGATGGCAGTATGTGTGTGATTGTGAGAGAGAGTGTTCAATAAATTCACTATATCCAATATGGCATACAGTTATTTGTTACATGACCTACCCAACATGTGACAATATTAATGAAACAAAATTTCCTACTTACAGAACCTGCCCAATACTTCCTATATCTAAAACTAAACTCCATGGTCTTAGTCCGCGAGCAAACTATACCGACCGAGTGGCTGCTGCTTGTCAGCGAAGTTAGTGCCAACTTTAGTAGATAGAGGGTGTCACATGGTCAGTGAAACAGATCCCCACAGCTGTTAATCTTGGTTTTCTAGACCGGAGCCACTACTTTTCCTTTCAAGTAGCTCCTCAATTATACTCACGAGGCTGAGTGACCCCCATTCTAAGAAAATCTGATAGCGCCGGGAATCGAACATGGGACCTCTGGATCTGGAGCCAGGAACTCTGACCACTAGACCACAGAGGCGGTCATACTTTCTATATCAGATGTATTTTATCAGAAAATCAGGAAGCTTTTCTCGATAGACTGACATGTTTTCTTGGTTAACTTTATTTAATTATACTTTCAATAGCTCACATTGAGTGGCATCGAGAGATAGAACAATCAGCAAATAATACACTGGAAGGAACGCAGAAGGTAATGGTTATGGTCTAATTTGAGGTACCATCCTGGCATTTGCCTGCAGGAACAGAGGAAAATCACAAAAATTCTCAGTTCGGCTAGCCAGTCCGTAAGATGACATCTGAACCTGGAGCCTCTTGAACCTGAAGCAGGAGTGGTAGCTACATTACCACATTATTCAATGATGTACATTTAATTTATAAAAAATACTGTACAAAAAACATGTGATGCCTATTTGCATTTGACAAGTCAGATTCATACATTAATAATTATTTGACTTTCGAGCATTTTATGCCATATGTGCAACATTATTCACTAACCATTTTTCATACATTGCACACAGAGGACACAAAATGCTCCAAAGTCAGATCTGTACAGTGTAACAGGATGCTGAAACATAACATTAATAACTATACAATAACCTTCCTATGTTTGCAAGTGTTCAAAGGTTTATACTCTTACCATTTTTGTAACTAACAACATTTAAATCCTTATTTCAAATGAAGTGTTTATACCTTACTATGCCCACTACAGTGCTTGAACTGCCATTCCTAAAAAAACGAGGGGTGTTCAAATAAAACGGGCTTGACCAGCAGTATTCACTAGAAGTGATGAAAACGGTTTCATTTCTGCAACCCTCACAACATCCTACATAAATACAACTTACACTCTTCGCTCTACAGTCCTTCTGACACTAGTACTATCTGATGGTGTTGTTGTAACGGCTGCAACTGCAGGCACTGCTGCTGCTGATGATGATGATGATGCCACTGATTCAATGGTGCCCAGACCCATCTCTCTCATCTTTTCTGCAAGCACATCCTCTAGCTTATTGGCATCTTCATAGATCATTGAGCCTTCTTCATTATACTGACGACAATTGTTGAACATCAGCTGCAGGATGAAGAGAATTTTCATTACAGAAAACAGTGCAGCAGGCTGAATTTTCATAAAATTTTCCTTGAGATTCTATCAATCTACTTTTATATAAATTTTCCAAATTAGGCATTATATAAGTCTTCAGTATGATTTCTGCATGCCAACTTGAATGACATTACAGAAATATGCTTATAATTCTCTGAAGCACATAGCTCTTTACCAATGTGACTCCTTCTAAAGGCTTTTAATCTTTAAAACAATTTATTATCTATTTGCAGAGCTCATCACAGCTTCTGAACTCTGTCACTCCTTTCAGGGCTCCTGGTGGGCTTATCAAGCAAAACCAAACACCATTTTCCCACTGCACTTGAAAGCAGAGTAGGCACACATAAAGAGGAACATAAAAGAGGAGGATAAGGAAACATGAACAAAGCATGCATGGCATGCAATGAACTGGTTTGACGTGGACAAGTAAGCACCTGAAGATGGCATTATTATGCCGAAACATGTAGTGCGAGGGAAAGAAGGAGATAAATGAATGTATGCACTGCAAGACGGATTAAATAAATCAAAGATGAACAAAGCATTCACAACCAGGCTTGACAGCAGACTTTTGTTCAATAATTTTTACTTGCTAGGAAATACAATTCCTCTTCAAAAATTGTTAAATATTATAAAATTTTACATCTTTTCAAAACAGATCCTTTTCAAGTCATACGCTGTTGGGTGTTGGGTTCAATGAATTTACTTCTAAAATTACAAGTGGCATAAATTCCATTCCTGACCTGAAAGGTCCACCCTATATTGCAATTGCTATACATTTATGGTAAGGCTAAACTACAGAGCTCTAAACCTTTGCTACAAACTGTTTTTATTTCATGGTATATTTTATGTCACTCTAAAAAATAAAATGAAATACTTGGCCTGGAGCCAAGAAAAACCTCTTTAAACTGAAGTAGTAGTAGTAGTAGTAGTAGTAGTAGTAGTAGTAGTAGTAGTAGTAGTAGTAGTAGTAGTAATAATGATAACAATAATAATAATACCACTAATAATAATTACAATTACAATAATAATGGATAAAAGAGAACTGTATCTAAGTTACTATAATGAATTAATATAAGAATGGCTGCAGAGGGTACCCAATCCTATCTACTATCAACTCAACAGGAACCATACTATTTCTATCATAAATGTATCTGCTTTAAGGTGAGAACTGTATGATGACAACATAAACAAAGACCTGTACTATGCAATAACAAACTAATCCCTGATTTTCCAAAGAAGACATCCATGACACATTCAGGATATATACAGGGTCTACATGTGTGGTTGCTCATCCACTTAAAATGTCAGTTCTTTTGCATCTTCACAGCATCTTGTGCAAAGACCCAAACTCTAACTTGGACAAGAATTGTCTATTTCAGTATCAAGCATCTCCACAATCATCACAGATACAAATTCGAAACCAACTAAATGTTACTGGAATTGAAAGAAGTGATCAAAAGACATTCAAAAACAGACTACACATACACACACCACAGACAGACACAGGAAGCAACTGCTTTACTGAAGATGGTAGGAAAAGCCTGGCCAGCCATCCACATTACTTAGTCTACATCAAGAAGCACCAGCAGTGACATTTCAATCTGGCATTCTCCTGTCACATCTACAATTATCAGCTACATTCAAGTACAACTTCATTCCATGTCATGATCTATTTATGTCATCTCATGGGGGAAAAGCATATGTGGATATAATACTAAATGCTACTGTCTCACTCTGTACTCATAACTATGCCTCCTTCCTCAACTGTTCAATGTTCATGTATTTACCCTTCTTCTTACTCTAGAAGGCACTTTCTTCCTTACATTTTGTCTTTCATGATATATGAGTGTGAGCAACAAAAATGATTGGGAAGTGTTGAATAGCAATGATTATCAAGTCCTTCACTCCAATCTCCTCTGACACCACCCCTTCCTTATTAAATTAATTAACTGCATGGTGCTGAGTCTTCAAAAGCTAATAGTTACTTGGCTGGCCAATTAAATCTCTCAACAATTTATCTTACTAAAATGTTCATCATCATGCTAAGAAGTCTGCCAATGGAGAATATCCTAAGTCAGCTCCATCTAGTCCAATCAGTATTCTCTCACACATTAACATCTTCTTTAATAGTACAATCCCATTCTGTGAAAGTAAAAAAAAGTTAAGTTATCCCTGTACCAGGCCGTGAAGGTCCATAGGGTTGTGAGAAGTTGAGGGTCCTATATTATCTAGACAATTGGCTCAAAGATGGAGGTAAGGTTGTCAGCCTTACGCGCTGGACGAGCTTTACTCCGCAGGAAAATTATTTAATTAATTCCTGGTACTCATTTCTGTTAGAGGCTGAGTGAACCCCAGGGCCATAGTGCAGCTGGAAGGGTTAGGTCAACTGAAAAAACCCAATGACCTCATCGGGACCTGAACCCGCGACCTTCCAGGTTGTAGCATAGCCCCTCAACCAACTATGCTACCACGTGCCCCTGATCCCATTCCGTTCCTTGTTCAATTACATTTAACATATTCAAATATGGGAAAATTGTTACATACAGTTAAGACTACTGTATTATCAGTTACATAAGAATAAAAGTATGCAGTCACACTTGTGCATTCCAATTAACAGTAGATTCACTCCACCTAACTACTGCTCAATGACCTTCATCTATGGGGAGAAAAAAAAAAGCTGCTACAAACTTTATTCAAACATGAATACTTACAGTCATAAATGTGGACAACCATTTAGAGCTGTGATGGTCAAATCTTACTGCAAAACCTGAACTCTTTCACCTACAACTAACTAACTTTCTAAAGAAATACCATCAGGTCTTTAAAACACACCAAATACCCATAACCCATAATCGAAGCATACATTCATGAAATTCTAATTGTTGCTCAGTCACTCAAGAAATTCCTTACCTTTTACAGAACCTGAAGACTCATTATCACATCCACAAGAGACCACCAATGGTCCCTGTCCTGAGCTAGATGAATCCACTCCACAACCCCAACCCTCTTTATGTCTCACTTTCATAATATCCTCCAATGTATGCCTAGGTCTTCCAAGTGGTATATTTCTTTCAGATTTTCCACCCAAAATTTTGCCTGCATTGCTCACCTCTCCCACCCGTCTCAACCTCCTTCATCTGATCATCCTAAACATATCTGGCAAATAGTATAATTATGAAGCTTCTCTTTATGCAGTTTTCTCCATCCTGCTGTCACTTCCTCCCTCTTAAGTCTAAATATTCTACTCAGCACCCTGTTCTCAAGCACCCTCAGGCTACGTCCTTCCCTTAGTTAGTTAGTTATTGGAGAGGGTGGGTTCCCCCATGCACTTAGACCTGTATTGGTCCATTGTGCTTCCCTCTATGATTTCTACCAGTCTCGATATCCTACCGGTACTGGTGCTTACCATCAGTCCCGCCCAGCCAGCGAGACCGGCTCGACTAGCTGAGAGGTATCTATAACGCTTCCCCCATCTACCAGAGGTATTAGAGACTGCTGTTGGGTGGGAAAAGTCCGTAATTTGGCTCAGTGAGCTCCTTTGGAGATATGAGGTTCTTTTACGTGCCGTAAAGCTACGACAACGGACCCACGGCTTAAAGTCCCTCCCGGAGGACTTGTTCCCTGAATTTTTCTGCCCTTAAAAATTCGACGACCTCCACCGGGTATTTGAACCCACGTACTACAGGTCATGAGGTGGTAACGTTACTTCTAGACTACGGAGGCCGCTGTCCTTCCCTTAAAGTGAGAGGCCAAGTTTCACACCCATACAAAAGATCTTACAAAATTATATTTTTATATATTTTAATCTTTGGATCTTGACAGCAAACAAGACAAAAGATTTTGAACTGAATTGTAGCAATCATTCCCTGTTTTTAATCTAGTCTTAATATCTTTGCAAACACAATTTTGATTTATTACTGATGTTCCAAAATATTTATACTTCACCACATTTATAAAGACTCTATTAGCAATCTTTACATTATATTTATTCCTGCATTCTGGTAATGAGTCATGAATATATACTTAGTTTTCTCTGCAATTACTTTTAGATAAACCTTCACACTTGACCCCAAGAGAGCAAGTGCGTAAGTACATCTTCCAAAATACTCGTGTTTCCCTTTCCAAACATCCAGGATGTTCCAAAATTTCAAGATTTAACACCAAAATTCTCACCTTAAAATCAGCTATGATTTCTTCTTCAGAAGTGTACTTATCACTCTTAATGTTGGCTTCAATGGTCAACATATCAATTGGATCTGTAATCACCTGTAACCATAGAAAAACATTACAATAATGATATAAAAAAGTGAGTAAACATAATTTGAGTAAACTGATTTGAATTCTTACCTGGAAATAATCTGGGTATAGCTTTTTCGATGGTTTCTCCATAAACATGAGAATTGGCTGACGTCCATCTTCTCGCTTTGAAAGGAAGTTAAACAATGACATTACATTCTGAAATGTGGCACATTTTTGTACATTCAAAAATTCAGTGACTACAATACTATCATGTACAGTAAAGTAAATGGAAAATTACATACACATGCACATGCATGTATGTAAAACATGGCAAAACACAAGATACATTACAAAAAATAACAATATGTAAAGTATCCTAGTAAGTCATATACAGAATGATTCACTTGGATTAGGCCCAAAATTAATAATTATAAACATAAGATAATTTACTGATGAAAACGAACACTGTCTTAGTATCTGCCTACCTAGTTTGCATCACTTCATTCAGTCAGCAATCCATCCCGCCATCATGGCTGAAATATTTGCAAATACGAAGCACTGTGTCAGCCTGTTTCCCCAGGCAGAGGGAAACTAATTTCACCATCTTCAGTAATCAAATTATGTCCACATCTACCATTAAATGTACTCAACAAGTCTTCTTTTCATAGTAAATTATTATGTGATTTATAATTTTTTAACTTGGGGTTCCCTCCAAGTGAATCACCCTGTACCATATTGTGGCATACAGACGTGTTGCTAGGCAACAAGCCCCTGAAAACGAGCACCATAAAATTCTTTGGGCTGCTGTCAGAACCAGGTGTGTTGCTCTTGCATGACAACACATGTCCCCATACTGCCAACAAGACAATGAGACGCTTCGAAATTTCAAGTGGGAAGTCCTTGAGCATCATCCGTATAGCCCCAACCTTGCTCCAAGTGACTTCCATTTGTTCAGCCCCCTTAAACATTATCTTTCGACTGAACATGTTCTTGCCGATGAAGCTGTAGAAAGGGAAGTCACCGCCTCGTTCCGACAGCAGTCAAAAGTATTTTATGCCACTGGTTTTCAGGGGCTTTTGAAAAGATGGGACAAGTGCCTCAATGTACAGGGAGATTATGTTGAGAAATAAAAGCATTTTTCAAATCAGTACTCTTATTTAAGTTCTATATCCATTTGTAACTTACTTATTGACTTACCTACGTATAACTTTACCAGGCAAGTTTTATTCAACATCTAATAAAAATACAACCACCTCAAAACCACATAGTAAGCAAATGTTCAGACACAACCAGTACTTTACATTGTCAACAGTACTACTCACCCACTGTTCTGAAGTACTACAATAATATACAGTACCCTAAAAATTATCAGGCATGATACTTTGTGTTTAAAATCTCACCATACAACAGAATATTATCAACCCATAATCATGGATTGAGCCATCACTTAGTTTTTTAGCAGAAGTACATGGTGCAATCCAAAAGTTCCCGAAATATATTAATAAAAACTATTACATCTTACCTAGATCTTATTCTGCACCATCACCTTCAAAGTAGTCCCCTTGGGAGCGCATTTCTGCCACTTTTCAAATGCATCCTGGATGTCTTTCTTTGTTGGGTGTCTAGTACTGTCTGCGTTTCCGCTTGAATTTCCTCAACTGTATCAAATCTTCACCCCTTCAACTTAATTTTCATCTTGGGGAAGATAAAGAAGTCGCATGGAGCTAAGTCTGGTGAGTACGGTGGGTGGGGAACAACTGCCATCTTGTTTTTAGCCAAAAATTCCTGCACAATGTAAGCCATATGCGGTCGTGTGTCGTCATGGTGGAGTACCCAGTCATTTGTGCGCCACTTCTGTGGACGTTTTCTTCTCATGTTCTCCCTCAAACGCCTTAGAACATCGCGATAGAACTCTTTATTGACTGTCTGACCAGGAGGGATGAACTCCTCATGAACAATCCCGTCAATATAAAAAAAAAACAGATCAACATGGACTTAATGTTGCTCTTGACTTGTCAAGCTTTTTTTGGCCAAAGTGAAGAAGGGCTCTTCCATTGCGACGATTGCTGCTTGCTTTCATGGTCGTAGCCATAAACCCAACTTTCGTCACCAGTGACCTTCGAAAGAAAGTTGGTGTTACAGAGGTCTTGGATGGTCGGTCTATGATCTTGCAGAATCAGATCCCTAACTTTCGCGACATTTTCTGGTGTTTTGCCTGTTGATGGCCATCCCAAACGATCATCATCATCAGTCAATGTTTAGCCATTTTTAAAATGCTAATACCAGTTGTAAGTTTTTATGTCTGGCCTAAACTGTTTTCACCAAAAGCTTGCTTCAACATCTGGTGCGTTTCTTCAGTGGTTTTCCCAAGTTTGAAACAAAAATTTATACAGACACGCTGCTCTCTCGGGTCAGCCATCGCAAAACCGCAAACTCACGGAAACACAACAATGGAAATACTTTCACCAACAATATACCCAACCACTCAACTCGACGCCGCTTGCCACACTGATTCAAGAAGGATGTGTGAGGAGACACCTAGCGGTATTTCGATGTACTCATAACCATTCACGTGCAAAATTCAAATTTCGGAAACTTTTGTATTGCCCCATATATTTATATTACCTCCTATTCAAAAAATCAAACCACATTATCATAACTACAGATCACTGGCAAATATTTGCGTGCAGTGTACCTATGAACACAGGGTAACTTGATCATGTACCTTTCACAGCCCTTCTTACAAGTGACAATATAATTTCTAAAAGGATGCCAATACCCACAGCAAAAAGGGTCAATAAATATGCAGCTGCATCTAAATGTATTATAGGGTCAAAATTATATTAACTTTTAAGTCTGTGATTTTAGTGGGCTGTCTTGAATCTGGATACTCTAGCATTTCTGCAACCACTTTCCGATAAGAGAGAGTAAGAATACATTCAGGAATGGTATACCTGAAGAACAACATTTACAAATTCTGCCTACCTTATAAAGTGAAAGAGATATTAACTGCAAGGACTGTAATTAATAGTAACCTAAAAAAGTACAGTCCTCAGGACTGTAACAGGCAGTTCAGAGGGGGCCTGACATTTTGGTGGAACACACCACTGACATCTTCGGGGTCAAAAAGTAAGCCAAACAATAAACCAGCATGCTGAACTCATTGTCTGCTTCTGGTGGGTTTTATTATTACTACATAAATTTAAAAATACTGAGGATAAAAAAAAGGCTGAAGATGTTAATATCACCCCACTGTAGAAAAATGATGTGCAATAGAGGTGTCAATTAGGTAGCCTAAATTATGTTACCAATAGAAATTTGGCATCTCATATCAAAAATCACAGCAGTTAATACCATACATATAAAACTTAAGAATACTAAACTTCCACTGGGGCCATTAGTCTAAAAATGTAAATAACATATTGAAAATTAAATCTACTCATATGTTTGCCTTTATTTATACATTAAGAACAATAGATTAGAACTTCATGACTGGTTAATCTATGCCTGAGATACTATACAGAACAATTCACATAATTATTATTATGACATAGGACTTTCCTTTCATTACTGTTAGACACCAAGCAGCTACAAATTAATATGCTCCATTATGCAGTAGAGGTACTAAAATTCTTCAGAAAAGCATTAAAAAATTAAATGCAACTATTCAGAGACATGTACTGATGAGGGCTTCATACTATTCAAACCACATATGAACATAATAGCAACTAGGTGATAAATAGATATAACCAGTTTTCCAACACAGCCGCCTACTATTCAACTACTTGATCCAGCACTATACATGTGTCAGTATGTCTTCATCCTGATGGCAAGTAACATGTTCAAGCCTCTTGCAGCTTGTGGCTGCTGGCAAAATCGTAGTCCTTAAAGCAGTTCTGAGGGGTCAAATATATGATAGTCTGATGAGGCAATGTGTGGGCTGTATGTGGATGTTCTAAAGCCTACAAGAGTAGTTACAGGACTGCTGCAACAGTGTGGGAAGCAGTGCAGGGAAGGGAACTGTTATGCAACAACACAACATCTTGTGACATGTGTCCTAGCATTTGTCCCAAAACTGCCAGGTGCACCTCATCATGCAGCTTCTCTTTGTTGTATGCAACCCTCTTCTGGTCATGTTTGAAGATTGGTCCCTGAGAATGTCAGAAATGTGATAGGATCAATACTTCTGCTGCTAGCCAAGATTCAAAACTTTCTGACAGGAGATGTCAGGTTTTTCTTCTCTGGTTCATAATGGTGGTATGATCACCTGTGACAATGCGACTCACAAAGGTGTCATCTTTCTTATACTACCAGCATAAGTGGTTACAAATGGTTAAGCATATGTTGTTCCCTACAATATCTGGAAATCCATCTTGCACAAACTTTCTGGAAGTGAAACCTGTGGTTGACGATGTGATAGGCAGAACCATGACTACTATGCAACTTGTTTGTCATTTCATTAAGTCACCATTCTGTTCTTCAGAATCAGCTCATGGATTTATACACCGTTCCTTTTGGTCACTGACACAGATGCATGCTCTAATAGTTTTTTATCAGTGACACTTGTTCAGACACCTCAGAACATGTCAATCCATTTACACACATTTTACTGCAGCAAGACACTGTCAGCATACTATGCTGGTCATGAATTCCTTCTACCTTCAACCACCTGAAAACTCACTGCTACATGCTGCTCCTCTTTGCTGTGCATGGTAGACAGAAATGTCAGCAGTGCTTATGGCACAAGATAGCTCAACATTGTAGGTCAAAACATCACAACAGGGAGAGTTTGTGACTGTAGCTGCACATGCACAAAGTAAAAATGGGGAGGGGGGACGACTTTTTGGACAATTTCTAACTTACCTTTGCATATTATACGGTATTCCATTGGGCTGAAAGTCACCCCTTATATATGACACAAAGTGTTAAGAGTGCATACATTCATACCTAATTACAAAGAGTGAAACTTTTGTGAAACACATGTTAGTTTCACCAAATTGTGAGCTCTTGCCAATAATTTTAAAACTACACAATCAATGTAAAGTAAAAAGTAAAGCTATCCCTGTACCAGGCCATGAAGGCCCACAGGGTTGTGAGACGTTGAGGGTCTCACAACATCTAGACAATCAGGTCAAAGATGTTGGTAAGGTTGTCAGCCTTACACGCTGGCCGCGCTTTACTCCCCAGGAAAATAAGTTAATTAATTCCTGGTACTCATTTCTGTTAGAGGCTGAGTGAACCACAGGGCCATAGTGCGGCTGGAAGGATTAGGTCCATTGAAAGAATCCAATGACCTCATCGGGACTTGAACCCGCGACCTTCCGGCTTGTAGCATAGTGCCTTAACCACTACGCTACATGTTCTAGAAGTAATTCTTTATTCACACGATGACATGCTGGGCAATTTCTATTGGCTTGCGTGAGACCTGAAAGCAAAGCCATTCATAAATCCTTTGTATCAAAATATCTTCCAAACAATTACTCTACATGCCATGAAGATTTCATTGGCGGTAATGTAGCTGCATATAGTAAAACTGTTTACTACTTACCTCACTTAGCTTCACTGAAATTTGAATTCAAATACAGTAACACATGCAAATAAATATTATAACTACATCTTTCACACATTAGAAGTTCTCCAATTACATAAAACCTTACCTTTAATATATTATCAAGACTGTTCAACTATGAATAAACAGAAAATCTTCTACTATTACCCTTACTTAAGTTTTGCATTTACTTTACGTCAACTTCTACAAAACAACATCCATTAAACAAACGTGTCGACAATTGTCTCACCACGTAGTCGATCAGACATTTGGCGAGTCCATGAAGCCTCTTCTTCAATGATGGCTCATCACGGTAACGGGAACCTCTTGATGCACTGGCACCTCCTGCATTGCGCCCACGACGTCGACCACGTGAGCCCCGATCATCGGAGTCTTCTTCACTGTCAGAGTCCTGTAGGATATAGAGTCCACTGCGCTCATCCGAAATTTCCTTAGAATACATTCTCCCATAACTGTGCAAGTGTGTAAACAGTACTTACTTTATATCAATAAACAATGAGAATCAGTATCAGCAACCAGTAACGCAGAATTTTAGATCATATGTCATGCTGTTATAGTGCAAAAATTTCATTTTGTAAAGGTGAGAGGAATGAATAACGTAATTTATGTACACCACAAATCTGTGTGCAAATGAAGTGCAATTCAGGGGATTGTACTTTTCAAATAAAATTCCTTCCTTCATTCTTCCCAGTTTTCTTCATAATTTCAGGCAACATAATTAACTGAAATAACATACACCATATCTGCATTAACAAAGGATACATACAACTATTCTGATAAAGACAAGAACACATTAGTAGAGCAAGATTTCAGATACGCATTCAGACTTCCAAATCCTCAGACCTCTTCAGCAACCTAGAACAATACCACTTGAGGACAAGCGTGGTCTAGAGGGCAGGAATGTTGAGACACTTTTCACAAAATTGTCTTAAGAACATTCAATATGTTTTGGGTTCCCTCATGCCAGACACTGTTTACCCAAAGAATCTCTTTTTTTTTTTTTAATTATTTAAATAATAGCATATTTACAGTCTACTCTCGATAATATGGAGTAATAAGTAAGTTTGTTTTAAGTAGGTGTATTTTGAGTAGAGAAGTCATCCACTGATGATACTCTGACAGGCCCTGTAGAGGAATGGTGATGGGTTTAATCTTCATCATCTGTGGGTTTTGGAACGTCAGACAGTCACTCTCCTCAACATTCTTACATTTGGTGGGTTGCTAATTTCTACAACTAGTCTGTTATTGTGTCCAAGTATGCTTTGATGGCAGAGTGTTGACCATCTATGTATTTCTTCTATGACAAATGGGATTTGCAGATCACTGTGGATAGTAAAGTTGGAGACATACCAAGGTGCTTTAGTTACTGAACGCACCTCTCCTTTTCACAGTAAATGTGGCTGCCTTTGGAGAACAGATTCTAAGAGAAGAGTAACAGCTGGCAGCCAGTTATATCTGATTTGGCAAGAAATGATGTGGATGTTCCTGGGACTGTCTCAGAGGATAGTCATGATCACTACGACTGCATAAGGCTTACTCTTGAATAGCTACAGAGTATGTGAACTCATACACTTTTACTGACATACAACTCTTTTGCTTTCAGCTGTGCAGAGGTGTCAACATTTCACCAGATGCTATTATTATATCAGCAACCATTATCTTCTTCCAGATGGAACAGCAGATGTGTGTGCTTCATACAATTCTGAGGCAGTTTTGGCTCATGTGAGATTTAGGATTATCATGGTGGTATCAACAAAAGATACTATCATCTGGGATATGACCATGTGTAGCTTGGCTGAAGTTTACTGCTTTCTTGGCTTATTCTTTGATCCTGAAGATGGAGGTGGGATGTTCCTCAGAAACAAAAGCAAACTTCTACAAGCATGCACTGTGTCACATTCCAGAAGATAGTACTCTTCTGCCTCATATTTAGCTGTTCTTGCACCAGTCTGGCAATATGATATGGTACAGAACAAGTTCCTGCTCTATACTGTCCATTCAGGGAAGCATGTCAAGTCATTCTTCGGACACGACACAACACATCACAAAAACTTAAGAACTTTTCCTGCCAAATTAGTATGATCAAGAAATATCTATGGTATTTCCCAGTGACACAACACTTTCTCTTGTCCTCTATAATGGCCCTAAATATCGTGGTGCACATTACATGTCAGGAGGTAATTAGAAAAATGAGATGAATACAAGAACCACAGTTGCTTGTATTTTATTTCATTTTGTTCATCATATAAGGCAGAATTGTTTTCTTTCCTTTATAAATAAATAGACGATCAAATAATCGTTATAATTAAATATTTAATAAAAAAATTTCTTAATTTCTCCTTCCTCAACCATTATGTCCAGGACATGCAGTACTTTGTAATTTGTTTGCTGAATCATGTGTGGCCAATATGAGGCACGTCAATTTCACAAAACTGTCCCCACAACCCAGAGTAAAAACTTTTTTATGGAAAAGTCAATTAGATTAACCTCTGTTCTACCATGGTTCTTTCAGCTAACCTAAATTATGTTTGTAAAAGTGAATAGGTTACCTGATCAAACTCAAGCAGTTCCTGCACCTTGGTCTGCATGATCTTCTGCAGCTTAACTGCATCCTGTACACAACACAATTATCAACTTATGGAAGATTCTCTTCTCTGCAACACCACAAATTTCATGTAGAATGGCACGTATATTTCATCTTGCATTGTATTCAAAACTGGGAAAAGCTCACAACTGCCAATGTGCAGACAAAACAAGTGGGTGGAAAAATATGTTTTGTTCGACATGAAACATCAGACAGTAGACTTTAGAGAAAATCAGTTCCTGCAGTGTGTATCCTTACCTTATAAAGACGCGAGTCTGGACGGTTATACTTCTTTGCATTCTCAAACATGATGTTCATGTCACCAGCTACTTCACTCACTGTGCCATAATCACCACGCTATAAAAAAGGTAAATTTAGTACTTTATATTATCATCATCATCATCATCTCATCTCTACTGAGACCTTCTACTTTAATATGTGACGGTTACACACAGCTAATCTAAAGATTTACACAATTAATACACAACTAACAAATAAATTGTGCAGCCAACCTTGCATAATGCCTAAACTCTTAATTTGTATTACTAAACAAATAAACCGAAAATAAGACATATTTTCTATTTAAATAATCATATTTTAGCACATACAATTTAGAAGCTATTGTAACGTGTTTCCTTACTGCATAAGCCATAGAGATCGTTCATTGGTTTATTGAACAATCTACAAATATTGGCTACAATTAATTATCACAATGTTACGGGTTTCCACAGTTTACAAACCCTACAACAAAATCTCTTAACACTATCTTCCAGAGTCTTCACGTATTAATAGCGCGGGAGCTATACAAGTCTCCTGAATTACACACTCCAAATATAATTGGCTATCACGAACTATCACTGATTCTCGCACACGCGTCTGTAGCTCGTAACTTGCGAACTGAGAACTCGTTGATAACACACTGACTCGTAGGCTTGCTCGGCACTAACTCGGAACTGTCTTCGGCGATGGCCATGTTACAACTGCCTCATAGCAGCTGTGCAGTTCCCTTATATAGCCGCAGTGGTGCCTGTTGCGTGCCACGTCACAGGAGTTGTTGACTGCTGCCTAGCAACCGCAATATCCCTTGGTGACGTCACCGCTGTTGACTCGCGCTGCATAGCTACCAGGTTGCGGGGACTCGGCTAACTTCGGCTCCGCTTGGCACGTCGCCGTGGGGGGGGGGAGGATGTTGACCTGCCTATTACCATTGCGCAACACGTCACACTATATTCTCTGTCAACTTAACTTTATAATTACTGACTACTCAATCTGATGATGTGATCCCCATGCCACAGGTCACGTTAGTTGCTGGCTTTCCACTGCAGAAGCTTGGGTCTGATCCCAAGTCAGGTGATGTGAGATTTGTGGTGGGCAAAATGGCACTGGCCAGGTTTCCCCCATGCACTTCAGTTTTTCCTGCCTATTTTCATTCCACCAACTGCTCCACATTCATTCTAATCCTGTCATTGATGCTACAAAGTCTTGGTACTGATGTCATTAAATAGCCAACTTAAAAAATAAATACACTATTGCTAATGAACTTAGATGTGTCAGAGCTAGTCGAAAACAATGTTTTAATCTCATGCAGGCAAATAAAGCTTGAAGTTTGTTGCACCCTCTATCTCACTTCCCAACTGTAGCACTTTGCTTTTCTATTATCTGATTCATGTTATCTATGCTATGAAATTGTTCTTGATTTTTCTTTTACCAAAATTACAACATGACATACTACAGTTAATTAAATTGTGTCCAGTACTCTTATTAGAAAAACTAAAACAGTGGCATTATTAGTATTACAACCAGTTAATTTAAAAGTAATAATAAATAATGAAATGATCCAACAAAGTTCAAAATTTAATTTCTTTGGATTCTCAAATTCATTTCTAGCTAAAAAAAACTACACAAGATTTCAAATTTTAACTACCCATGCAAAATGTTATACACACTGAAAGGGACAGCAAATATTGCTTTGTAGTAGTGAAACATGGACAACAACAGAGTCAAGATCTTGAGATTTGTTGCAAGCTATTCCTTCTCAAAAAAGAATAAATGGAGAATTTTAACTTAGTTGATAAAACACAGCTATACAGAAATCAATGGATGTTATACACAGACCACATGGAGAAACATATATATTCACATCTGACCAGGGAAAGCTGATTCTGATGAGAGCACTAGTGAAATGTCACCATTATAACTTAGGCTGCAGAGGAGTGAAAGAACAACACGGAAGAGGCTTATGTACAGTCCATTCATTCTTATCTAATTACATCACAAATTAACTATCAAAAGCTTGTCACCAAAACTTGGCAGTTAGATGCATTATACTAAGATGGATTTCGGATTACCATCCTGGAGGAAGATTTACTGCAAGACCAAGAAAGAGATGATCTCAATAAATTTTGACGCAACAGCAGGTCTGAACTTAACCCTTGATTGACAATGATGGTATCATATGCATACTGTCAGGAAATAAACCAACAGTCTGAGAAAACACTTTTACAGGCTCTTCAACTAATATACCATAAAGTAAGTCACTGCACTAACCTTGAGTTTATTCCTGATCTGTGATAATGACACAGGGTTCTTGATTTCTTTATAGTAATCTGGATAGTATCTCTTAGATGGCAGCTTCCAGAATGGTTCACTCAAGGGATGACCTGAGCAAAAAGTTTGAAGCTGTGAACAGTTTATAAAAGGTGCAAACTTGGTACACATATCTAAGATTCCTAAATCCACAGACTTCGAAATGTATCTTCTTCTTAGTTCTTCATAATTTCCTCCAGCACTACAGCTTTACTTCCAAATAGAATGGTGTACTACATTCAAAGCATGACATAACACATTTTGTTAATCCTCTTCTAGAAAGTGATGCTTACCAAGGTTAAGATGGGAAGAATGTGTGTGGCAGGACATAAGAATTTCGGGTGTAAAGAACTAGAGGAATGTAGCATCGAATAGAGAAGAATGGCGAGCAATCCTGAGGAAGGCCAGGGCTCACAAAGGGCTGTCGTGCCAGTGATGATGATGATGATGATGATGAAAGTGATGCTTCTTTAATGACAGTATCAGTAACTATGTAGCAGATCTTATAGTGAATTACGAACTGAAAAAGATGTGGAAGGAAGCAGTTATGGCAAATTTATGATCCTATCCTGACATCTGCCTGGAGGGGCTGAGGATAACTACAAAAGAAACCTGTTCTAACAGTTGGCATTCTGGCAAACAGTCAAACTAGGAGCCTTCCAAATATACATTATAGGCATTATCACTTCAGCCAACTTGCTTGATCCAGAAAGCACTATTTTATGCATTCTGTACATTCTCACTCCCACCACCCACACCAGACGACACGGTGAGAAGTGTGATTAATATGTATGAAATACTGCATTTAATTCTCAAATGCTCTACCAAAGAGTTTCTTAAAATACTGTCTGTAAATGTCATATGTTAAAAGTTAAAAATTGTGTCAGTCCTTTTATATGAAGTATGGAAAGTATAACCTCATTGTACCTTGGTTATTGGTGGTAGTTTTTATTGTTTCAAAGAGTTGCCACCGAGGGTTATCTACATCTTCAAGGGCTGTATCTTCATCCATAGGCCCACCATCATCTGACTCTTCTTCTTCATCACGCAAAGCTGCCGTAATGGCTGACAGGGACTGTACTCCTCGCATTCGTTTGTTCCTGTAAGATTCCCAATTTTCTTATATTTATGAGGGAATTGTGTCCAGCACATGTAAATAACTGCAAGAGACGGCAATTTTATGCTGGACCGGATATAACTGTCTGAAAAAAAAACCCAGTGTCCCCCTAAATTTGACATCACTACTTCTACCTGATAGTTTCAGGGGACACCTGATTAATAACATTCAGGGCTCCACAGAATGATGAAAAGAATTAGTTGTCATTTCATGTGGCCCAACATCAGAATTAAAACCACTGGATGTGCCATTCAGCAATCAGAAGGAAACCCATCTGTTGGTTTTATGCACAGTGGATGGCAACCGCCAACTCATGTAGATGCACACAGGAGCAATCCAATGGTCGTCATTGGTATGAATATACATACAACTGGCACCTCAGAAGCCAGGGGTTGTTTTCGGCAGAAATCACTGCCAGGAGTTTTAAGAGAACTGGAATGTTAATGTTTTAGATGGGTCTGAGCACTACCATCCATTTCTGGTGAGAATATGACAACAAAGACAATGGACCCAGTTCTGTTACTGATAACGGAGACAATAACTTCATGTGAGTCGGTATGGCATATCTTTCCTTCGTAAAAATGTTTGGAAACTATGTAGGAAAGAAATGGTACCTTATTCTCACAAAACTCATCTCTTTCTCTACACTACACAGCCAGTTTTCTTAACTTCAATCTAATATGCAAAATTATATTCTGAAAAGCATTATTGGCATATTTATGCACCATAACTTTTCAACATCTTTGCCTAAAATGGTAAGTTACATGAGTAAACATAATAAAACTCTCTTAGTACTTGAAGCTATTTACTACTCCACAGAGACAAAAATCAGCACTCAACACATCAGTGACCATAGATTGAAACAAACACCAGTGAATACACGAACACTTCTATTTATAGATTATTTGGGGAACAGTGGATTGGACCATTACATTTCAAGGGCTACAACAAAGACTAGAAAACACAAAAAAAAGCTTAGTGAAACAGAAAACCTGACCAATTACAATACTCATAAAATAATTTAAAATTAAAAGGGGAGGGGAACTATCTTACATCTGGATAAATTAAGTGTCCAATGAACTCTGTGTGAAATCAAAACATGTAACAAACTGCACTCTGTAGATACCAATCATTCTACTGGTCATCAAACAAGACGACAAATATCTTTCCAACAGAATACAGCAAACCTTGTTCAATGACAGCAAACCATAGAAAAAGCAATTAAGCAAAAAAGAAAGTTGCAACAAACTTAGAAGATGTACAGCTTACTGCAAGTCATTAAGCATTACTGATATCTATTACTGAAACTGATGTAACAGGCAACACTTATGTCATTATGAGAAGCTCTCAAGGCACATCATCCTTGTTATCATTAATTCTGATGTCATAGGAAGTTTTTGTTCCTATCTCTTGTATTGTGGCCATTTCTATGTCCCATTGGGTGTGCCACTCTCTTAGTTGTGTGTATCTAGTGTTACTTTGTGTTCCCTTGTACAGGGAATTAAATATGATTTAGTGTTTTTAAAATTTAAATTGATATTGTTGAATTACAGAAGGAAAACAAGACTATAAATGATGCAAACCTTCAGTGAACTAAATATAATGATAAAATTATTTATCACATGTAACCTTTTCAATTTTACAAATATGAGATTACTGTTAATGTCCTAATGATTACTGTTATTGAAATTTGTATTTAGAGGCAGGGGGAATGTCATTCTCCAGTATTTTGACTATGGAAGTGTAGCAGAATACTCTCCTCACCTTATCCGTTCACTGCTTTTGCCAGTACCAGGCTGGTACTTGCCATGTTCCACTTCAATTTTCTTACTTGAAATTACTTTGCGTAAAGTCTTGGCATCTTTGTAGATCTGAGAACCAGGTTCATTGAAAAGACAAGCATTGCGAGTCATCTGTAACAAATCCTTTTCTAGCTCTCCCAGGTTTGAGTACTGGTTCTGCTGAATTTTAGTTGCTATCATTTTCAGATCCACAGGGTTGTCTATCACATCATAGTATTCAGGGTATCGCTATATTAGAATAAAATAATAAATAGTCTCAATATCAACAGACTCCTTATTATAATTATTAATATATACAAAAAAGTAACTTCTTCAACAAAGACATATGTAAGTTGATTCAAACCAATTTATGAACATAACAAAAGTTTCCAAAGTAAAAGATTGTTTCTAACAATACCTTCTCCTTCATACTGACAGCACAAAGCTCTGTCTGCCCTGTTTTATCTTAGTTCAGAATACACTGTTTACAAATGGAAACTATGGGACCACCACCATTATCACATTCTTTCTACACTTATTCACTGATGATTAGTTCACAGACAAATACTAACAAAGTATGAGATAAAATCTGTGCACAGATGACCACTTATATCTCAACTCATATGGACCTTCATTCCAAATGACACTGAATAAATATGAAATTAAATTAATGCTACAAATATTTTTTAATTATTATCTGACCCAAAGCAAAATGCACACTTTATACTCACAATCTTGTATTAGATCAACTGAAATCAACACATGCTATTAGTGAAAATGATAAATACACTGAACTCTATTGCAATTTACAACATAAAATAACTCTTTGACCCATGTCAAGCAATGTTAATAAACTAAGGAAAATCTGTAGCAGAAAATTACACACTATTATATTTTTGGAGGAAACTGAATTCAATGAAACAATATACCAGAAACAAGATCCTGTAGATTTCCCTGCAGAAATAAGGAAATAAGTCATTTTTACTTTAATTGTGATCTTTTATTGACTCCAGATATACTACTGCAGAAGCTTTTCATATCTAGGAAATAAGAAAAATGAGCAGCAATGGGGGCAGTGTCCTGATTAAAGGAGGCTACCTCTCATTTCAATGTTTCATTAATCAACGGAATATCACAATCAGCACAATAATGTAAGGACTTATAAATGTCATAACCACCACTTATCGTAACAAGCACTCAGCTAACATATGAGCAAAAATATGCTGTATTACACACAATAGTTTTTATGTAGCAATAAATTACAATAAATATGCAGCTGGAAGAGTTGTACTGGCACAACAACTGATCTATTTTTGGTAATGCTTGATGACTTGAACAATGTATTAGTATCAGTACTTATTCAGTATTTCAGACATCCACAAAATGGATACAGAACTTGTGCTCACTCTGTACATACAGACCAATTACAAAAGTTGTTTACATGGAACATTACAACAGTATAAAATATAAATAGTTAAGGCCTTAGATTAGTCAGAAACATGTCATTTAAGAAGAGTCATATTAAATAAGAAATCCACAATAAACAAATAGTTATGAGTTACAAATAGTAAATATGAGATACTTAAAAACAGTTCTGTTGTGTGCGTGTGTGTATACATATGTATATAAATCAAGAGAGAAATCATTTGAGTCTACCCTCTATATGCATTACTAAAAAATATTTTGTGTGAACTAAAAGTTTACCTTTAATTATTTTAGACTGTTCCAGGCCACACACTCTCTTATGACCCGTTATGATTTTAGAAACTTGTTAAGTCAGTAAGACTGTGCAAAATACAGAAAACAGTAAATTCTGAAAATGTTAAGTCACGGTGTCACTGCAATACAATATGTCACCTGGTTAATGACATTTGTGTCAGGAGAAAACAGAAAAGAACAGGCATAAACACTCCTATACAAAGAAACTCTGTTCAAGTTTCCATTTAAAACACTTCCTGTTTTAACAGATTTACATTAAAGCGCCATTCTGTAGGTCCAAGATGTTAATTTTTAGTTACAACTGTTCAACCTTACAAAATAATTGGAAGAATGTTGTATATCTCACTTCTGCAACTTTAGATGCAACAAACTGTAAGCATATTTTTATTATTACTGTGACAGAATTAAACGCACCATAAAATATGCCATTCTCATATTTGTGACCCCTGGTAAAGCAAGTACTGTATGTATCAAGTCAAGTGCAACATGTCCACAATATTATCCCTGTGTTTACCACCTCCCTTACCTTCTTGGAGGGCAGCAGTTGGAACACGGTGTGAAGTGGGCGGTTGTCCTGATCTGTTGCCATCATCACTGCTGTGAACAAATCCTCATACATGTTGGCTTCCTCATCTGGATTAGTTGAACTTTCTGATGTATCCTCTGCTGCTTCAGAGTCCTGCTTTCTGGCCTCTGCAGCTGCAGCTCTACGTGCCTGTAACAGTTTACCAGTTTCTAATTGCTTCTCTTTAACTGTTACATAAAACTATTGGTATTGTATGAGAGTACAGCAATCCCCCACCAATCATGAATGTTACAATACAACCACAATATAATGAGTATGGTTCATGCCAGTAACTTCATTATAACGAGAAGAAAATGACATTGGCACATTCAACACATTAATGTTATATATATGGAAAATTCTCATATAGAATGAAGGTATTCTTTCTGATTATTTCATCATAATGAGTGATTCCTAGACAGCCACAACTTTTCACTGCAACTTTCTGCACAATCTGTAATTGCAGGTTTGCTCCCACACTACTTACAAATGTCAGTCTGTAAAAGAGCCATTAAAATCTGCCCTGCATGAATCCTGTTTAGGACAGAAAAGATAACATTCCAAGAGCTGACAATCATATGTAAGAACAGAAATCCTTTCCTATGTTGAGGCACAAGTATTTAACCTGCACAGCCAGTTAATCTAAAAACATCAGCCAATGGCTGTTGTCACAAGAGATTATCTAAGTGTGACATGCTTGCCAACTTCTTGGTTTAGGTAATGTGAAACATGCTGAGCAGTAATTTACTTGAACCAAACCCAAACGAACCCAAAGACAGAAAAATATGGTCATGGGACTGAAAACCATGAATAATTATGCCAGTGAAGACCAGCAGCAATTTACCAGACCACACTGAAACAGGAGCTATTGAGAAACCAATCAAGCTTGGGAGTGTTAGGCAGAGCGCAGATCACTGGGGTGTCATTACCAAACAACAAGAATGTTACGATATATCAGACTGGAAAAACTTGGAATGTGCTGTAGTTATTTGTAGATGGTGAAATCATAATAAAAGTGTTGCAGCTGTATGTACCTAAGAGTAACAGATAGCCAGTAAATTTAATTATCAATCTGAGCCCTGTGCCTAGTCATTAACATGTGACAATATTTTGGTTGACATCTTGAGAACATCTACACCAGTGATGACATTTAAATTATTTATCAGCCAGAGTGTGCAAAGTTGCCTGTTCGTCTTTTGTGTCCTCCTATAAATGCCAAGCACTAAACCTGGCAACTCTAATTATGCCTACAGGGCCAAAATTACCTCAAAACTGGTGGTAAGAAGTTGCAGGATAGATTACGTTACTGTGCCCACAAGTCGGACTCTGTGTAAAGGTTTAACACACTCCTCTTTAATTAGCTTATAACTCACCAATTTACCAACTTTGAGTATTATCTTGCCCTTGTGCTCCTGGCCTGCATCCTCTCCAGGTCGCTGGTCCTCAAGAAGCTTGTTCTTGGTGGAAACAAATAAGTCCCATAGCTCACAAGCATCCCGATACTCTTGAGATGTTCTCTACAAAGCCCAAGAAACCATTATACCAGATAATTAGCACTTACACAACTATTTACATAAAAGCTACCATGAAGTTAAACTTTGAAACCTAAAATAAATAGAAAAAAACAAGCCCAAAATTCATAGCTGATTCAGTAATTTGTGTTTATCCATATATAGAGACAAATACTAAAACTAAACAGTTCATAACTGTATCTCTGCTCTGGAAAAACTCTTGAAATGGTACTCTATGGGTACACAAGTGTCAGTACATGTATGCAACAAGAGATGTCAATTTTTCCAGAAACTGTATAATGGTGCTTTTTTATACATTTTTCTTAGTATGCAAAACCAGAACTCCACAATTTTTAACGAAAATAAGAAGTGCAAAATACTCATGTTATTAGTCAAGCAAATATGGTTCATAAATAGAGGGTTAGAGAATAATGCTAACATGACCACTTATCACCACAGCATACTGCATCAAGAGGTTATGAGGTGAACAGCCAGTCTCTAAATAGCAAACTGTACATCTCCCAGAATAATCCCCAAACAGGTTTAATTTGAACAAACTGTATATAAAGAAAGTCAACAATGGACTGGAAGCAATTACCTTGTAAAATGCCTTAGCATTGTTAACCATTAATTGGACATCAGTTGTGAGTTCATCCACATCTTCATATTCATCAGTTTTCAGTTTCTGCTGCAGTTTCAGTAGGTCAATGGGATTTGTTACAACCTGGTAACACAAGTTACAAACACTGGTTAAAACACAGTGAAAACACCAACTTACACTTTTCTTGGGATTAGGCAAAAGAAAACTACAACTGTGGAACATTTTAAGTCCATGAAAATGTATTCAATTAACACACGCATGCATGCACACACACATATTCAGTACATGAGACTATGTACACTGTGGCACAACAGAAAAGGGTTTCCAATCAAAACAGGACTAACACAATGTGTCTCTTCTCAAACATGCTGACCCATCATATCTGTTCAACTTCTAGGATTCACATTTGATCAGTACATCCTCCCAAGCGTGTAAATTCTGTAAGATTTGCAATTCCCCAAGAGATGAAAGTAATACACACTCATTAAAATCAATCCATACAGTCTGCATTACTTTTCTGTGAAGTGTGCTCATGAACTGCCTTGTTGAAAACATGTGTAAGATTTTTTCTGTTTAAATTAATTTTTCAATGAAAGGATCCAAAATATCATTCACATTCAGCTGTGAATTATGTCATGGAAGAATTTAGGGCCTACAGTTCTTCCAGTGTTTACAACACACAACATACTAACTTCCTGGTTATGTAATGAGATTTGAGAGAAAAAAAAAATATGTGGATTTTCAATATCTTAATTATGTCGGTTCTATGAGTTAATCACTGCAATGAAACCAGACTCCATATGACATAAAGAAGCTTAATCAAACAAAAACCACACAAATATGCCTAAGAAAACAAAACTGCAAAAGCTAATTTCTGAAACTGGATCTGCAGGTTGAAAAGGGTTCTGTCAAAAATTTTAGGGTTTTCATGGTCCTATGAACAGACATTTTCCAGACACTGGTTTCTTTAGGCAATTAACACAACAAATTTTTTCAAAACTTCTGAGATATATTTGTCATCTATATTTTGCCATGAACACAAATAAATGCCCACAGTTGACCAGACAAAAGAACAAACATTAAAATGTGAAAATTCACTGTGTATTTGTTATAAAATCCGCAGTCTTTTACAAATTTTCCTACATTCCCCTCAAGTTATTACTCTTATTTATTTATCTGTATTTACTTATCTATTGTTTACTTACTCAGTGGATTAATTTACTATTTCATTTATTTCACACAAATAACCACTAATCACTCATACAATAATTCTTTAGTGCAGAATTATATATTTCCAAAAAAAAGAAAATTAGAATGCTGCATGGGTGGACATGCAAAGGCAAATGAAGACACATAGCAAACGTGACATAATCCTTTACTCTATCAACAGCAACTAAATCCCTGAGGAAACGGTTTAATGAGTGATAGGAGAAAATACAAAAATCCTAATGCGACCTGCCACATATCCCTAATTATGAGGGTTGTTCAAATGACACACATTTGGAGACTGTTATCAGTGAAGGAAGAGAGACATTAAAAATAGTCCCCGTGGGTGAAGAGGCAGGCATCCCACTGACACGCCGGCTGATGGATCCACTATGCAAAGAATTCCATCAGCTGCAGCCGGAACCACTGCACCAGGCTGCCTCGCCATCTTCATCTTATTCAAATCTCTGGCACCTTCATTCTTTTTCTAGGGGTGCTGAACATGGTCTAACATCAAACTTCTCTCATTTGAACAGCCCTCATAAACAGCTACCAGATCCAGATTAAGTACACACACTGTCACAAATTCAACAGCACACTTCAGAAGTTACAAAAAATCAAAATCAAGGTAAGAGCATTAAGTGTCAATGCAAATAAGTCTCACCCTATTGAATTTTAAAAAGAACAAAAGAAATATTTTAACATATGACTACTTTATGAATTTAAAAACAATTCACCTCATAATACCCTGGTTCTTGACGACGTTTTGGAACACGTATAAAAGCATCGCAAAGAAGAGTTCCATCTTCCTTCTTGTGGTTGCGAATTGTATCATACAGCTGATGGCACAACTCTGCCTGAAAATGGTAACATATTATGAATTTAAAAAACCATACCTGTGGTTGCCTATTTTAAAATATTTACCCTTCATTATCTCCCTTCTCCTAATCAATGTACAGCTGAGCTTTAACATGGCCAGGTCACATTACATCAGTTCTTCTGTGAAGATATCTCAAACTTCAGAATGATTAATTAATTAGTCTCATAGTGGCCTCCGTAGTCTAGGGGTAACGTTCCCACCTCATGACTCAAGGTACGCGGGTTCAAACCCAGCAGAGGTCGTGGAATTTTTAAGGGCGGAAAAATTCAGGGAACAAGTCCTCCGGGAGGGACTTTAAGCCATGGGTCCCGTGTCGTAGCTTTACGGCACGTAAAAGAACCTCGTGTCCCAAGGGGACCACTGAGTGAAATTCAGGACATTTTCCACCCAACAGTAGTCTCTAACGCCTCTGGTAGATGGGGGAAGCATCAAGAGATACCGCTAAGCCAGTAGAGGCCGAACTCACTGGCTGAGTCGGGGCTGATGGCATGCACCAGTATCGGTAGGGTATAGAGACTGGTAGAATATCACAGGGGGACGTACAATAGACCACTGGTCATGGTGCATGGGGAAACCCACCCCCTCCAATAATACTAATACTAGTTAATTAGTCTCATGAAATAATTCTGTTCATTTTAAAATAAAATTGCAAGATACTGCATTCAAACTTTAAAAAGTCTATAATGAATAATCTCTGCATTTCATACTACTGTATTTCTGGATATTCTGCATCATCCGGGGATAAATACTAGCTCTGTCAATTGTGACAAACTGAGTAGGTTCAACCAGAAGATGGAGACAGAATCCAGTCTCCGAAATCTTGTGTTTTACATGAAAACCGGATGGTGTTTCAAATAAAAACAGGACATGGATAATGTCCAGAAACATAACAATTGTATTAATATACCACTGTCACAAACTCTTATATCTTATCTGAATTTCATGTTGCGCACTACTTTATATTTCTTTATGCTTTATTTATCAACAGTATCAGAGTGTCTTCAAACAGCTCTGTACATGGTCCAACGATGGTGTGAAAGAATAAGCCTTTCCATCAATCCCAATAAGATGGTAATTATACCATTTACCAGGAAGAGAAATATAAAGGGCCTTATGGAACCGACCCTCTTCAATAAGACGATTCAGCTCTCCAGCGATGTCAAGTACCTTGGTCTAGTATTAGATAAGGGACTGACATGGAAAAAGCAGCCGGCTAAGGTCATCAATAAAGCCTATAAGGCTTTTTGGACATGCAGAAGCATGTTTGGTAAAACTTGGGGACTGCAACCGCACATTGTGCATTGGATATACAATGCGGTTGTAAGGCCCATAATTACATACAGCGCCACAGTATGGTGGCCCAGAGTTAAATTCAAGACAAGCAAGGCAGAACTTAGCAAATTGCAAAGGTTGGCTTGCTTGGGTATCACAGGAACAATTCAAACATCTCCAACAGCTGTACTGGAGACACTCCTTGGACTCTCCCCACTGCATATACAGTTGCAGACAGAGACCAGGGCAGGTATCTACTGTCTCCAGTGCAATGATGAACGGAAACCTAAATCCGATAGTTTCAGACATGCATACATAACTCAGGACATGAAAAAAGAACCCGTATTACAAATGGGGTCTGACAAAATGATACTGAGACATGTATATGAAAAACCATTCAGTCAGATTTCCTGACAAGAGTGAATGGGAAGATGGGTTTCGGCCCGATAGAAAATGGGGACTGATCTGGTATACAGATGGTCCCAAGATAAATAAGGGCACTGGAGCTGGTGTGTTCTGCTATGGCACAAGGTGGAAACTTAGTTTCAGCCTTGGACAGTACACGACTGTATTCCAGGCAGAAGTATATGCCATTAAGGCATGTATTATGGAGAATCTAGATAGGAACTACAGAAATAGGAACATCTACATTCTATCTGACAGGCAAGCTGCAATTAAAGCACTTGACAAACATCAGATCAACTCAAAATTTGTCTGGGATTGCCACCAAACTCTCATGGAACTGGCCAAACATAACAGGGTACAACTGATATGGGTGCCAGGGCATGAAGGTATTGCTGGAAACGAAACAGCAGACCAATTAGCTAAGACTGGAGCTGAACATCCGTTCACAGGACCTGAACCAGCCTGTGACATCTCTATAGGAGCTGCCAGACAGGCAATCAGGGACTGGACAAATATGAATCACAATAAATACTGGGGATCCTTAACTAGACTCAGGCAAGCAAAGGGACTCATACAAGGACCCTCTACTAAATGAGCGAAGGAACTGTTGAATAATGTTATATTTTAGCGTCCTGCTGCACTGATTTATGTCCATGATTTATTCTGACCGTCTTACAGTGCATACATTTATTCACCTCACTCTTCTCTCTTGCACTACATGTTTCAGCACTAAAGTGCCATCTTCAGCTGCTTTTCTATGTACGTTGAACTACTTCATTGCATGCCCTGTTGTCTTTATACTACATACGTACATAGAAAAGCAGCTGAAGATGGCACTTTAGTGCTGAAACATGTAGTGCAAGAGAGAAGAGTGAGGTGAATAAATGTATGCACTGTAAGACGGTCAGAATAAATCATGAACTGTTGAAGTTAAACAGGAACCATCTACGATGGGTGGTAGGACTACTTATCAGACACTGTCATCTCAAAGGACACCTCTTTAAATTGGGACTAAGTAACAGTCCAACTTTGGAGAGGTGTCAAGAAGAAAACGAAACAGCCACACATGTTATATTTTAGCATCCTGTTGCACTGATTTAAGCCCATGATTTATTTAAACCGTCTTGCAGTGCATACACTCATTTATCTCCTTCTCTCCCTCGCACTACATGTTTCGGCATAATAATGCCATCTTCAGGTGCTTACTTATCCACGCCAAACTAGTTCATTGCATGCCTTGTTCTCATATTAAAATAACTAAAATATGTATCTATCATATACATTGTCAAACGTTAAAAATATTAAAATTGTTCAGGATACCACATCACTACGTCGCACCTCACTACGCCAGTCACGCCCATTCTCCTCTGTTGGAGCACTCCTTCACTATCATGTGTGTGTTGTGCTTTT